GCGCTTCAAAAATTCCGCAGAACGAATCTCCGTATAACTAGGAGGATGCCGTAGTAGTCTGCGTAGCTGGTTGTGATCTCTGCGGCCAATAACTTTAGGCCACTTCGTATGGATCAGCCAATCATTGGGTTCTGGGTCACCATCACCAGACATTTGCACAGACTCTGCAACGGCTTTGTTGTACTCAAGCATAGTCCGCTCCTCGTCCGACTTTTTTTCTTGCTCCTGCACGACTTCGGCGCTTTCGGCGCTGTCTGGGTCCTGCATGGGAATGACCTCAACGTAGTTTGACTGATCTTTGCTTGCAAAAAACCTTTGCCTGAAAATCTTCACGCACCCCCCCGCATACCGCTCGGCTTTGGTGCTAACCCCTGCCTCTCTAACGCCTCCATGGGAACCAGGGGAAAATGTTGCTCTATGTTGAGAATTCCAGTGCTTCTGAATCTCGCCTAAATTCGATGAAAGAAAGGCGGTGGCTGGATCTTCACAAACCGTGCACCTGTATTTATCGTTCTCCAATTCAAGCTGAGGAATCTGTGGAATAGGTCCGGTTGGCATAGTGAACTCCGCGATGGTGGTCCTCACAGTCGGCCATTTGTCGAGAATTTGGTCCTTAATCTGCTCCCGCACATTTGGGCCTCGAAGTTTGTGCTTCTTCAGCAAGTGTCTGGGAACTTCGTCAGGCATGACTGCGTGACGGCATTTCTTACACCCAATGAGTCTGTACTCAGGCAAGAAGTCAAAGAGCGTGTCGGCGGACATATTGTAGACCTAGACCATGGCATCGTTAGTCCTGAACCCTTGAATAGAAAAAACCACAAACACGTACAGATCACTTCACTATCGCTATACAACAGAGCGACTTGAGCCAGAGTTGAACGCGTCGAACAGCCTAGACGTGCCAGCATCGTTAGTCCTGAACTCTTGAGTAAGGAAGCATCACACACATACCGGTCAATATTCACTATCACTATACACCGCAGTGACTTGGACCAGAGAAGAGCGCGTCGAACAGCCTAGACGTGCCAGCATCGTTAGTCCTGAACTCTTGAGTAAGGAAGCATCACACACATACCGGTCAATATTCACTATCACTATACACCGCAGTGACTTGGGCCAGAGTTGAGCGCGTCGAACAAGCTAGACCGGAGCATCATTAGTCCTGAACTCTTGAATAGAAAGATCACAAACACGTACAGATCAGTTATCGCTATGACAAGTAGAGCCGGTCGAGTACAAGCGACTTGTGTATGTTTGGGGGCCAGAGTTGGACGCATCGAGCTGCCTGGATACATCAAAGGCCCTGCGCGTTGGACGGCACTTTCCAAGCATTCCTGGACGCGTGCCAGTCCTAAGGACGATAGGACGCGTACTAATTAAGACGCGTACTAATTCAAACACATAATTACTTTTGCGAGTGTGTGGCGGCTGGATCATGCTTGGCTTTCTTCTTAAACCGCTCGTTTGGCGTCGTCTTGGTAATCATCGGCTGCTTCCCAGCCAAATTGCTGCAATGGTCCATAGGGCGTACTAGTGATGTCTGATATGATCACATTCTTCTGGCGATGAGGCTTGCCTGTTTATATCTGGAGCTCGTTTAGCGTTGGCTTATCAATCACTGGCTGCCTTCCAATCATCGGCTGCTCCCCGGCCACGCTAGGCTGCTCCCCGGCCACGCTAAGGATCTTACGGCGTTGCCTGATCATGCCTTATCAATCACTTGGCTGCTCCCCGGCCGATGCCTGCCATTTGCGTCTTTGTTTACTTGTACTTGCTACTAAGTCATCCGTCGCGTCCTCCTCATCTGCTCTCTCTCACTCTTACGCTACATGGTTGAGAGTCGGACCGAATAAACCACTGGAACATGTCATCTTTATTCTGCGCTAAGCGCTCCCCAGCTGCTTACCAGCAATCCTCCTGGTTTCATCTTTCAAACAAACATCGATATCTGGTGAGTTCGCTGATCGTTATCTATGCGTCGACCGCGTCAAGATGCTAACCACCTTCAGCAGTCATCATCCTGGCCTCGAGTCTGCCCTTGCTTGAATCCACTGCTCAGTATATATGCGCCGACCGCGTCAAGATGCTAACCACCCTTGGCAGTCATCATCCTGGCCTCGAGTCTGCCCTTGCTTGAATCCACTGCTCAGTATATATGCGCCGACCGCGTCAAGATGCTAACCACCCTTGGCAGTCATCATCCTGGCCTCGAGTCTGCCCTTTTCGTCTTCCCAAGTATCAGTCGTCCAAACCAAGCATCGATATCATCGATATCTGCGGGTGAGTTCGCTGGTCGTTATCTATGCGTCGACCGCGTCAAGATGCTAACCACCCTCCAGCAGTCATCATCCTGGCCTCGAGTCGCATCGATATCTGCGGGTCCACTGGTCAGTATGCGTCGATCGCGCCCGAGTGCTAATCACCCAGCAGTAATCATCCTGGCCTCAAGTCCTTCAGCTACTCACGCCACTTCATCAACTCCTCCCCTCTTGTCAGGATACGTGCCCTTCGCTGGGTGGATGCTTAACTCCTTTGCCTTGACGATTCCTGTCGCTGCCAGATCGTCGCGCTTTTGTCTTGAGTTTGCTTTTGTCTTGAGTTACCGGCTTACTCACCACTTGCCTAGGCTTCCTGCTGCTGATTTCGTCAGCCACTGTAGTGTTTGTAGTAAATCTTTGTGTAATGTGCTCCCAGACCTTGAGAATGAGTGCTCCTAGCGAGATGAGCGCTCAGATCTTGGGACGACGATGCAGCATCGACGTCACTGATAAGGTTTATAAAACAAACTTTATCTGAGATTTTTCACACCACATCTGCTTTCTGCACTTTCTCTTCCCTCTTCATCTGCGCTTCTCCTCCCATTCCTTCCTGCTCTTGCTGTTGCTACGCCAGTCCAGGAGCTGCGTTTTTCTCGCACCTCCTCGTGAGTCCTGACGTGCTGATCTGCTTTTCTACGCCCAGCCGACGTTGATCTGGTTGAGTCCTCGCCTCCTGCTCTGCTCTGCTTCACCTAGCCACGCTGACGAACTCCTTCTCACTCTCAGCACACCTTCTCACTCTCAGCAACCTTCTCACTCTCAGCACACCTCTCACTTCCAGCACACTCTCAGCACAACTCCTGGTGTTCGCTCGACTCCCTTTGACTGCCGCTGCGCCCACCCCTCTTCGCCAGCCGCGACCTGGCCTCGGTCTATATATCTGATTGCTGTCTCTATATTTGAATATACTCCGTCGATTTGATGCACTATTCTCCTTGTAGTTCTTATGTAGTTTTTCGCGTAGCTACACCCCTGTTCTTATGTAGTTTTCCGCGTAGCTACACCCTTACTTGACGTCGGCCGCGTCGTTTAGAAGATCACTGGGCCATCGTCCTGCGCTCCTTTCTCCACTTCCGTCTTCTTCCTCTTCTCTTTTCCTTTCATAAATAGCTTTAGATTGTTCTTCATTTTTTCCGCTTCATTTTCCTCTTTTTAATATTTTTCTTACTTGTCTTGTTGCGCCTCTATGTCGACTTTAGTGTGGTTGTTTTCCCAAACTCCACTCCTCAGCAAAATCTCCCCCCTACACCCCGTTTTTTTGTTCTCATACACCACCTCATACCCCACTTTCTACACCTGCTCTCCTCTCCTCCTCCTGCTCCCCCGCTTCCCCCTACTTTTCCTTGATTTTTGCATTGATTTTTCGTTCATTTTTTAGCTTGTTTTTAGTCTACTTTTCACCTACGCTCGTCGCCTCTGTCTGCTCCTGTTGGTCGCGTTTTGTTGTTGTTTGTCTGATAAAGATCCGGTTATCGCATCGCATCTTATCTCCTCGCTCATCGCCGGGGTGCCGACGTCACTACGCGTCTACCAAAGCTTTGGGACTCCTGCGCTCTCGCCTCACTCGCTCTCGCCCGCTTCACTGCGCGTGCTCCAAGAGCGCTGCCTCCCTGGCCCGCTCTCCCTAAGCTTCCTCTCACTCTTGACCACTCTTGTTGACGTCCTCACGTAGTCTCTGGTCGTCGCCGGGATCGCCGCTCTATGTCGAAGAGCTCGATGTCGAAGAGTGCCGTGGGCGGCTGCACTCAAACTCTATCGCGTCACATTCCCCGCGACAGCACTGCCCCCCAGCAATGCGCTATCCGACATCCCGACTGTTTCGGCTTGGCAACATTCCTCCGAAAACCCCTCACCTGATAGAGATAAGGACAAGGACAAGTTAGATAAAGGACGGTCTCGCCGCCTCGTCCACCTCTCGCCCCATTCGCTCTTCTTTGCTCCGCCACTCCGCTCTCAGCGTCTTCGCTCTCCCTCGTTTCGTCGTCAAGCTCTTCGCTCTTCCCTCATTGTTTCGCCGTCAAGCTCTCCGCTCTCAGTGTGTGCTAACTTCTGGTCTGATTTTCCTCCTTTGCCTTTGTTTGTATCATACTACCGTCCTCCCAGATAAGCCCTCCATGTCGTCAACCTCCCCACGCTGCTGCCTGCTCGCCTGGCTACTTCCACTCGCGGCGAGTGCTGCCTGTTCGTGTCAACTCGTCGATGAGTGCTGCCTGCTTCCACTCGTGTCGGCTCGTGGTGAGTGCTGACTGTCCGCGTCAACTCGTCGATGAGTGCTGCCGATTGCTCGCCCAGGCTCCTCACTCGTGTCAGCTCGTCGATGAGTGCTGATCCACTCTTGTCAGCTTGTGGACGAGTGCTGATCCACTCTTGTCAGCTGCGATCAAGAACAAGGCCTTGCCAGCGCTGCAAACCACTGTCTGTTTTACTACTCTATACTTCTATAATTAATAAATTGATAAAGACTGAATAGAACCGTGTAGCGAGCCTTTGTGTCCGGCTAATGGCTGACTAGAGACTGTTATAAAGACTTGTCGAAATGATTCTCCGGCTGATGGATGACTAATAAATGCAGACTAGAGACTGTTATAAAGACTTGTCGAAATGATTCTCCGGCTGATGGATGACTAATAAATGCAAATAGAGAATACTGTAGACTGTTGATAAAGACTTGATAGCGACGATGTCTAGATGATGACTAATAAAGAGAATAATGCAGAGCTTAGAAAAGAGATCCTGGGACAATGACACATAGAAAAGAGATACTGAGCCGATGACAAAACAGGAGATACTGAGCCGATGACAAAACAGGAAATACGCGATAATGACAGTGATAATGCCAATCGAAGCAGAGCTGGCAGGCGCGCCACCCCTACCCATGTGGGACTCCCCCCCCCCCCTCCCACTTGCTCTTAATCCCCACCCCTACCCATGTGGGACTATGGCTAGGACCCCCCTCCCACTTGCTACCCTACGTCTAGAGCCTGTTCTTGTTTTCACTGTCCCTGTCTACCAGATACTAGTCCTTTTCACTTCATTGTCATATTTGAATAATAGTAAATATAATAATGATAATATACTCCCCAGTAGTGTAGGCGCGCTTGCCTTGCTGCTCGCTTTGTCATTATAGAATCCCACCTTTCGTTGAAACCCCCACGGACTCGTCGGCCCACACCTGTGCTGGCTACTCACTTGTCTTCTGTACTTCTGCTTGCCTAACGCTGGCTCTGCTCTACTCGGTTCCGTCTTGTTGGTCGCGCCTTCGCTTGGTTATCTGTTACCTGCCCTTGCGCTCACCTGTGTAGTATCTGTGCTTAATTTTGCTGTCCGCGTTTGTGCTCTTTCATTTTCTCTCTCTCTGTTCTCTCTGTTCTTCGTCGCTTGCTGCTATAATCTTCAGAATTGCTCGTTGAGCGATGCTGTCTCCCAGCTACCGCCTGAGCCGTACTATCACGATCTTTGAGGCCTACTTGCGAGACCTCCCAGCCGAGTTTCAGTTCTTAGTAAGAGTCAACAATTTTCTTATGTAAACACTCTGGAGCGTATTAAAGTTTTGTAAAATAGCAGCTCGAGTCCACCACAATATTTCAGCATTGCGGCCTCCTCTTTATTTCCTACTTCCCCACGCTTTTCTTTATCTTTCTCACCTGCTGCCTTTACACTTCCTCCACGTTCACCCGCTTTTCTCCCCCTCTCATTCTCTCACTCTCCCTCTCCCTCTCCTTCGCGCTCTCACGCTTTCCGCGCCTCCTTTGAAAAGAGTGCAACCTTACAGGACTCAACACACCCGCCGCCTTGCACTCTGTCCTACTCTTGCGCTTATGCCACACCTTCCCGGTCTCCTCCTTACACTCCCATCTACGTCTGTGCCTCTTCGACTTCGACGCCGAACACTGCTTTTCTCACTTCCTTCCTGGTCCCTCGCTCGCACGCTTCTTCCTTGTCCTTACCAACAACCTCGGCACGACCCGCCTTTGCGTTCCTCGATCACTTCATTGCCGACCCTGTCTCTTCCCAAGCTACCGCTCCCTTGTCCCTCGCTTGCTCCTGTCGCGCTTGCTCTCACAAACCCCACCTCACCGTCGAGAGTGCAACCTCACGGGACTGAACTTGGTCATCTGCCTTTGTCTTTGTTCCGCTCTTGCGCTTACCCAATACTCGTCTCCGTCCTCATGCTTCACGCCTACGCCTACGCTTCCACCCCCGCCTCGACTCACTCGCCTTTATGCTTCCTCCACCCTGACGCGCCTTCGCCTCCTCTCACTCTCCCCGTTCTTGATTCTTACGCTTCCATTTCCCTACACCTATGCTGCTGTTGTTAGTCAAAGCTCGCATCACTGATTCCATCCACACATTCCCAGCTGAGTCCTCCTGATCGCGCTCTCAACTACCTTCACCTGGACTATCCCGCTTTCTTTGCCCTTCGATCTTTCGCTTCCCTTCTTTGACCTCTCTCCTTTGGCCTCTCTCCTTTGACCTCTCTCACGCTTCTTCAACATACCATCCCAGGAGAATATTGTTTGTTTTTGTTGCTCCTTTACCTTTTCTTCTGGGTCTCGCTCATTGCTCTTGTATTTACCCAATACTAACGCCACCTCTCCTGACTCTTGCCTACGCTTCCTCTCAAATCGCCTCGAGCTGCTGATCATCATCATCATCACCACAGTCGCCCATACGCTTCCCCCTGCACTACAGCTGCGTTGGAATTGAGTCTGTTTCTGTTTTCACTGTCCCCTAGATACAATTCCCTCTCACTTCCTTGTCGTGTTTTGAATAATAATAATTATAATGATAATATATTCCCCAGTAGCGTAGGCACGCTTGCCTTGCTGCTTTCTATGCCTTTACAGAAACCTGCCTTCGCTTGAAGCTCTCCCAGACGCTTCGGCCTGTACCTATGCCGACTACTTGGTCCTTTCGTGAACTGTTCAACGTTCATGTGCTCTGACTATACACTCATCTGCTGAACGCTTACGCTCTTGAGGCGCTGTTCTTGCTTTTCTTTACTCCTCATTCTCTTCGGGGTTTCCTGCTTGCTTTTCTTGCTCTTTGCTCTCGTCGCTGATGGTTGGCTACTTCTCTTTCTACACACCTCACACTTTGTCCAAGACCAGACGCTTACACTGCCCTTCCTTGTCTCAACCCTTACGCTTCCTGGCCTCACTCACTTAAACGTTCCTCCCCGGTTCCCTAACCAGTTCCCTTAAATGCTGATTTAACAAACCGATTTAACAAATCGAGTCCTCGTGCGACGCGCTTTCTAACAACCTCTAACTCAAGTGCGACGCGTAGAACCCTGCACACTCTTCAATAAAGTGCCTCAACAACTAACTGCGCTGCTTTGTTTTCTTTCGATTATGTTCTGTATCCGTGGTCTTCTTCTTTGGGTATTTCTTGATGTGCGTCGCTTTTTTGGCTCAGAGTTTCTCTTCCTCGACGCTGACACTAACGCTACCCACCAGCACCACCCTTCCAAAACGTGCGTGTGATCTCTTCAACTTCTTACTGCGCTTACTACATGGTACTCAGCAATGCCCTTTGAGCACGATACCTTACCGCTACATTTGCGCGTCCTTGACCCCCTTCGCTTTCGTCACTTGCTATCTGCCCGTGCACTCACGTGTGTAGTGGCTGTCTTCAGGTTTTTCTGTCTGAGTTTGTGCTCCTCCATAATTCCTTCTTAATCTGTGAGAGATTTGAAAACTCGCGCTGATCGGCGCTCGATCTCGCCGGCCCGCGAATTCTTCAGAATCACTTGATCTTGAAGTAGTAGTTCTGCTCTGCTTGCAGTCGGAAGTCGATCTTGCAGTCATTCGTCTATTCACCATCATCATGGCGATTCTATATAGGCACGACTCTTGTCTGTTAGTTTAGTTTCTTCTTTGCGCTTCGTCTTTCTTCACTTGTTTGTCGCGCCTTTGTTCTTTTTCTTGTCATCTGTTCTTCGACCTACCCAACGCTGGCCCTGTTCTGCTCTGTTGCGAGTTATAAGTCGCGCCTTTGTTGTTATATTTATATGATTTCTGCCCTTCCTCTTACCGAGTGCGTTGACACTTTCTCTCCTTACTTTCGGTCCTATTCCCGCGCTTCCAAGCCTGTCAAACTCCTCCTCTTCATGCTTCCTCGCTTTTGTTCGGTCAAGTTTCTTAGACGTGTCAGGCGCGTCTAACTTTACGCTCCTCAACCGAGTCTCAGCCGAGTCTTTCACTAACTACTACTAAGTTCCCGGACTTTACTTTAGATAAACTCTCTTTAGATAAACTGTCATTCCCACCTGCTGAGTCCAGATTTCTGTGGGCACTACACAAACCGCTACACAAAGCCAGTCTCCGAGAGTGTGTCAAGCCCGTCAATAAACGTTCTGTTTCTTGACCTCCACACTCCTCCTCCTCCTCCTCAGCTCACCTCACGCCGCACCTCCTCTTCAGCTCACCTCACGCTCCATCGACGTCGACGCTGAATTGGCCTCCTTGCCTACTCCTCCTCTTACCCTCTTCGTTTCTACACTCCTCCTCCTTCATGCCGGGGGGAGTAGCAAAAGCCGCTGCGCAGTTATGCAATTCTAGTGAGGGCCAAGTGTGCTCCAATAGTGTACTAATTCAGATTTTTATGAGATGATCCCTAATGGCACCCATGACACATCGAATAAAACGGAGAGAAAAGAAAACGAGGGTTGAGCGCGTAGAAAAGCAAAATAATGAAAAGAACATTCGAAGGATTACACACTCATGCGACGGAGCCCGGGTGAGTGATTTGCCTTCGACTCTGCGCAATTCAATACACTTTTTTTTTGTTTTTGGCGGGATCAAAGATAAACCTGTTTCACAGAAAATATAAACAGGGTATTTAGAGCCAGTACTTTACAGAGACCGGTGACTTTGATGTTCAATGACGACCATACAGCAGGGCAAAGGAGTGCAGACAGACAGTAATGTTATATCTTTAGGCAGATACCAACATATAATTTGATGAGATGACTTCAGCAATGGTATTTCGTACGATGGCAGGACAGATATACCGTAGTAAACCACCTCTCTCATATTGAGATGCTGCGGTGTTTGCTTGAGCTAGTGGTTGCAGTGTAAAACTCCTTTTCTGGTTCGTTCCGGGATGGCATTCGCTGCGCGGAAGGACAGCTAGACCAACGAGGGAATGTCAGTGAGAGCTCGAGAGAAGTAAGATGAGATAATCTGAGAAGTGCGTTATACGTACATCGGCTCTGTACAGCCAAGCCTTGATGACCAGCAATAGAACCAGCAATTGAAAAATCATTTGAAAAATCATTTTGGAAACGTGATCCTAGGCGTCCGAAAACCGCAATCCAGACTCGATCCTGAGAGCTCATCTGGTGACTGGCTGAAAGCCCTACACAAACACTGCAAGCGTGCGCAAAATCGTTCGCACTCCTCGCGCATGTGCGCGTTTCGACACAAGAACAACTCTTACTGTACTGTATGAGAGCGTAGTCAAGCCACTCTTGCCTGATCTTTCTGTAGTCGAGCTCAACCGTGAGATAGACGGAATGCCGGCGACTTATAGGATTGAAACGCTCGTAGTCGCGCACAATCCGGAGTCCAATTTATGAATGAAGGCTGAGTCGACCATCTGCAACCGTCTTGAAAGGCATGAACTCAAACAAAGCACGGCCAACGTCCAGTTCTGTTGACAAAGACGTGCAGGTGACACCGTTAAAGACCTTCGAAAGCTAGCAAATCGTTCAGGACCTGTGAGAGGTGAAGCTAAAAACTCTCTAGCGTACTGTGTCAGCCGGGTGAGAGAAGATTCCGCCTGACGAGCGAACGGATCAAAGGGTTCGAGTGGTCTATGACTTCGTGGCATTGAACGGGTTCGTACGCGGGTAGCCTTTCCATGGGCGGCACAGGATCATAAAAAGTGGAAGAGGAAAAAGACCAAATGCGGCCCGTCGTATAAGCCCGGGAGGCGAGTCGATATCGGAAGAAGTCATATGGTCGTTGGGAGGAGCCGGAGGTTGGAAAAGTAACGCTGATCGAAAGGAAAGGAAAGAAGGGCGTGAAATAGCCAAATCAAGGCAGGAGACGACGCAAGGTAGCTAAACATAAAGAGTGACCTCGGTCAGGCACGGAAGGAACACTATGATGGCTCTTCAAGTTGGAGCCAGCCTTGACCGCCGGAGGACCTGCAAGATAGGCAGGCCAACTTCCTTGTCGTCGGCCTCTTCTCTCTCGCATCCGTCAGTCTGGTAAGAAATATATCATCATCAATGCAGACCCAATCTGTCGAGCAGGTTACGCACGATAGGTACAGCTAACGCGCCGGTGTGTCGCGCTGTTCGAGCTGTTCTTGAACAAGAGAGTTTTGCTGGGATGTACAGGGGTTTCACAAAAGGATTTTAAGGTTTCGCCTGCAGAGGGCAATCCCACAACCTGCTCCAACTTATATAGTCAGTGCAGGATGACTGTTTACGACGACGACGCTACTCTGCTGGAAGTCAGGGGTTTGTTTCCAGGTGATCATGAATGAGTGAGCTTCCGCCGAAATAGACTGGTGAGCAAGCCACTTTAACAAAGCCTACAGTTCTTGAGTTACTCATGATGGTCTAACGATACCCATTACGCGAATAAATCGGGCAATTTCCAGACTTGAAACAGACATCGCAGTAAAACGCTGTAACTACCGCTTTTGGACGTGATTCACAGAGCAGAAAAGTTTTCATTCTGCCCTTACCGGCGCAAGCAATTCTAAACTGACTGATCTATAGTAAGCACAGCCGAGGCCCACTGCGTTGAAGTCTACATGCTCCGCTCGCCGAGACGATTCGAGCAGCGCCTCTGATTCTGCCGCAATTTGGTAAAATGTGCCAGTCCGTCGATCTTGTCCGGGACGAGTACAGCTGACAGGGATTGTCACCTGTCTTGCCCGGTGGGGATGCCGGAGGTTTAAAGTAGGTAGACTCATGATTTATTGAACTGTCAACAAACCCTAGAAAAGTATCGCTTTATCCATCCCAGCAGCCATTTGAACTTGCACCATCATTTTGTCCCAACCGATACAACTATATGATCAGTTGTGCCCTCAGTTCGAGATAGAGGATGTGAATGTACTCTCTTTACCAACGGGTCGGCTCCCGAGACGATGTTTGCGACGGTCGTAGTCAACCAAACTTGAGAAGCGATGACTAAGGTATGACAGTCATAATTAATTAAGGTTCAACGGCCCCCCCCCCCCTTGCATCCCCTGCATTACGTGTACATCCTCTACCCGGCTCAGATGTGAGAAAGCGTAGATATATTAGCCGGTTCAGCGTACAGAACATCTATCCTGACTTTCCCATCAGTCAACGTCGTCGCCTTATCGTCGATTCCCTTCAGAAACTGTGCTATTCACATAACAAGCCATGATTATCGAGTCGTTGTCGCCGAGCATGCGGCGACGCTGCAGCTTCCTGCTTCTGTTGATCCCTGTGCTTGGAATCATTGTGATAGTGTTCGAATCGTCTCGGGTTGACCACAGCTCTCATCCGTCGAACGTATTGTCATCAGTCAGTGCAAGTACAGTAAGTGAGACGCATGATATTATTGCGGATACGCACAATGAAACGCTGGGGTTTGGTGCTGTTCTTCTACTTTCGTTGCCATCTCGCACGGATCGGCATGATGCGATCTCACTGATCGCCGCGCACACGGGTATCAAGATTACGAAGACTATCTATGGAGTTGTGTCCGACGATGTCGACAAGAAAGCTTATCCTTATGGAGATGCCCGGAAAAAGTTTGAGAGTGACAGATTCTATCCCTATCTTGGCAGCTGGAGAAGTCATATGGATATCTTTCGGTATATAGTCGACAACCGAATCCAGACTGCACTGATCCTGGAAGATGACTTAGATTGGTGAGTCCATTTACTTAAAGATCAACTATGCGGTTTTTCTTCTTTGGCTGACACGACACGTTGCATAGGGACATGAATGTCAAGGATCAGTTTGAGGCGTTAGCTCGTGGCCTCCGGAACTCCACTATTCGACGACCGTTTTCGGAAGAGGAGCTTGAGACCGCGCCGTATGGTTTGGACTGGGATATATTACATATCGGCTGCTCGCAGGTTAGAATTGCAGGAGCTCCTCGTGATCAAGCGTTTACAGTGTATACCGATGAATATCGGGCGCCGAATCATATCACCAAAAATCCATGCAACCCATTTGGATATTTTTGCTGGGAGGGGCTCATGAAACATGCAAAGTTGAAGGAGAACCAGCGAGCTATCTATCCTACTCATGAGTCTGTCGGGTTATCTGCCTTTGCTGTGACGTATACGGGTGCGCAGCGATTGCTTTACCAGTTGAGCTACAAGGAGTTGACGGACACGCTCGATCGGTCGATCTCTAAGCTGACGATGCAAGGAGCTGTGCGTGGATGGACTGTGATTCCGCCGATGATGGGTGAATTCAAGGTCGATAGCGGCAAAGACACGAATCTTAATGTCAAGGCCGACATGTTCTCGAAGGATGTGTCCAACCTCAAGGGACATGGACCGGGGCTACTGCGCAGTGCTCGACAGAGCCTGACGGAAACCTGGGAAGGTGACAGTGCTAATTACTGGGTCAGTGAGAAGGCGTACTGGGGGAAGCAGGAGGAGAAGGCGGATAAAGTGGGGCGTTAGCTGGTTAAGTCTGGAGGGTTGCAGGCGTAGGGGTCTTGAGCGTTAGCAGGTTGTTCTCGTTGCATATATGCGCTCTGATTATGGTTATGGAAATGGACGCCAAAAGGGATGTGCTGCGCATGGGTGTATATGTTTGATCGCAAAGCTTGCTAATTTGTCACTACAATCTGTGTTGTATTATTCGTCGCGTTTATCTGTGTGCTTGCTTGCTGATATTGTTTTTTTTTTCGGAAGTTATCTATTGCCCTAGGTTAATATGATACATAAGTTGCATCAATTGGGTAGAGGGATTTTGCGGTGGGTGGAATAATAGTGAGAGACGTAGTTATATTAGTAAGAAGAGACATAAGATTACACATAAGGGGGTTTCGGAATGCGGGGTTTAGGGTCGGAATTGATGTAATGGACTAAAGGCGGATAGCGAGCGACCCCGCATACGAGGCGGCTTCCGAGGGTCGGGTTAGTGAATAAGAAGACAGTATCCGCTCAGTTCCTGGAATCCATCTGGTACATGCTGGCATTTCGACAGTCGCGAAGATTAGTATCATTCAATTCAATCAGAGTCTACTCGCTTTATCATCCGTATTCGACCATGTCTGCCTCAAACAACACCGCTGATCGTGAAGCTAAGCTGCAGCGCAATCCTCACGTACGTGGATGTTCGTCATTATTTGTAATCACTTGTCGGATCGAAAACTGACAATTAGTATGATACTAGGGAGATTTCAATGCGGTCGAGAAGTCGCGCCCTGAGTTCGAGGAGGATGTGGAGTTCCACTACACTCGCACGAAGGACATTGAATGGGTCCCTGGCTCGGGTGCGACCAGCGACGACTGGAAGAAGCACAAGAAGATTGCGGTTGATCCGTATGCGGAAGGCCGTGATCCTTTGAACAACTACAAGCTGCTGATTGCCGGAATTGTTCCTCGCCCGGTAAGTTGTGATGGTGTTGTGGTTTTAAAGAGTGAGAAGATGGAAGCAAGCTAATGGTCAGTAGATTGGCTTCGTCTCGACCGAGTCCAAGGCTGGTATTCGCAACTTGGCGCCTTTCAGTTACACTACCTTTGTTCACCACGACCCTCCTATTTTCTGCATCGGCTTTGCGTCGTCGGTTGCGGCAGCCAAGGACACGCTGGCGAACATTATGGAGACTGGAGAGCTTACGATCAACATTATCTCCGAGTGGTTTGTGGAAGCGGCGAATTACACTGCGACCAACGCACCGCCCGAGATTTCGGAGTGGGATGTGTCTGGACTTACACCGCTTGCGTCGGAGAAGGTGAAGCCGCCTCATGTGGGAGAGTCTGCGTTCTCGGTGGAGGCGAAGCTGGTTACTCACCACGAGTGGATCTCGAAGGTGACTGGCAAGGCTAATGGTACGCTTGTGATTGTGGAGGGTGTTAACTTCCACATTCGTGAGGACGCGACCAACGAGAGTTTCACGACGCTTGATCCCAAGATCCTGAAGCCGATCTCGAGATTGGGCGGAATCACTTACGGACGAACGACTCAGGCGTTTGAGATGCTGCGTCCTTCGTGGGCCGATGAGGAGAAGAGAGAGGAGGTGAAGAAGATTTTGGAAAAGTAAAGACGATGACTGAGGTGATCGACATGACTGTCTGATTGAGAGAGTTTGGCACTATGATTGAAGATGCCAAAGGCGATGTATTTAGAACCACATAAGCATATAAGGAGGTTGTGAAATGAACCAGAAATTGTGTCAACGCTGACCAACATATGAGCACTGAACCAGTAGTTGATCTAGAGCGTATACCTATAACTACAAATTGAGCACAGTCGTAGATATGAGCAAGAGTCAGGATTGGGCAGAGTGTCGCGTGACTGTCCAAGATTTGTTTAAACTTGTTTAAAGTAGAGGGCAATTACAGCGGAATAAATGAAGGCAATATGGTACTGCGAGAATTTTTCAATTTTTTCTTGGACTGGCGAGAGAAGTAAGCGGCCGGTCGATATCGCTCAAGAGTGCTGACCAGTTGATCTACTGGCGGTCAGGTCACTGATGATGAACTGACAATCGCTCAAGTCTTCTAAAGAGATATTTCTCACCAGACGTCTCATAAAAAAAGCTCACAAGAGCAGACTGTGAGAAGGGTACTTTATCTGGAAGAAACGAATATAAACAAAAGACAGAGAAGGCCGGAAAAAAGCGAAGGCCGCGGGAGCTAACGGAAAATCTTGGCCAGGGCGGAGGTCCAAATGCGGGCATTTGCGTAAAAACACGGGTTTGCCGGGGCATTTGGCCGAAGGAGTGAGACAAAACGACGACAGGCGTCAAAGTCTATTTGTTTTCTTGTGATCTCCTCTTTTCTTTGTCTAATTGTTTAAATTTATCTATTATCTCGTTTAGAGATTGCTTTTGACAGAGAGAAACTCTCACATCCGTTGATGTGGTAAAATACACATTCATTAGATTCTTTCAGACAGAGACCACAAACACGATGTGCACAGCACAGGGTCTGAAGAGAAGCAAAAGTTGTGAACTTGAAAACTTCAAAGTAAAGCTCTCTTGGCAAGCGGCTGCTTTAGAGTGGGGAACAGTCGTGAAGCCGTAGAAGACGGAAACTTCCGCTCCGAGAGCCCGAACAGATCAGACGGAGCTGGTTGGCATCGTTGTTTGAAGTGTCTCTCTCTGAAGTACTTCCTACTCGACATTGTCTAGATAAATCTGTATATCTGGAGCATGCTGACGGGGAGCAGGTGGAACTGGCCCTGGTTATCAGATGAGATAATCTCACCCTGCCAGCAACCTTAATTGTGACTCGGGATGACTGTGATGCCTTCGCCCGCGCTCCTGGGCACGGCACCGACAACTCAACGGCCATTGTTTCTTTCCTTTTGCCTCTTCTCTGCACTAAATTGCAAGAGGTCTGGTCTCCTGTGGCGACTGATCCAACGCTAATTTTCATATCGCTTCCGTAGTGTTCTCTTTGCTGCGGTCTGTTCTGAATTCAGCCCGTGTTTGTGCTATAATACAGCTCTAAACTATAGTAATTGCTCGATAGATTAAACAGAACATTTGCTCGCTAATCTTCATAATATCATCAGCAGCAGTTATGACATCCATCGCATGCAGCACCCGTGTCTCTGTCAGTGCTGACTGGTGTCAAGAAACCACCCTTGGCGAGCTGCCCGGTTGTTCGCTGTCCTTCTTCTGCTCCTGTCTAGGTCGCTCTACGACACGTACTCTGAGTGAATAAATAAGCTTACAGAGCCACAGCAAATTACGACAGCGACCAGCCTTTCTTGGACTCCAGCAAAGGCTGCGTTTTCGCTGTGGCAGAGCTCGGCGTGCGCTGTCAAATACATATTCCGCTGCTGTCTGCCGGATCTAGACCTTCCTTCGCTGTCTCCGTCTCTGTTTCCAACTGTGATATTCGCACTTCCTTGGCTCTCAAACCCTTTGTGCCATCTTCTGTCCACGGTTCGCTGCTCCGTTGTTCTTCGGACGTCAGCTGTCTGCTTCCGACCGGCTTCCCTGTTTCGACGCGGAACTGCAAATTACTAGTTCATAACTCCACACCCGGCTAGTAATCACTAGTTAGTTAGCGCGAGAGGCTGCAATACAGTTTAGACTTTAATAAATCACAAACTCTGTTTGTTGGGCGAAGCTCCCATCTGATCAGATTACCACAGCCGCCTCCCATCTGCCGGTGATTTTTTTTCTACAACCTGCTCTGGACCGTATTCCGCAGGTGCCTCCAGATGCCACTATATCTGGGGCCCCGGTCCCCTTCTCTCCCCAATCTCCCTCCTACCCAAGAACCTGCTCTTCCCTTCTCAACTTCCCCCCTCCATCTCCTTCATGGCTGATCTCGAGAGCTCTAAGAAGAGCGTCAGCTCTGCCGATCATTCGGTCCCTCCCAACTACGGAGCTGAGTCGCTCCCTCCCAAGGAAGAGGAGATCGTTCCTTATGGCGTCCGCCGTATCGAGATCATTTCTGATCAGTACAAGAATATCTACGGTCGCATCGCCGTTTTCTTCTCTATCTTCCTCGTCGCCTACGGCTATGGTCTAGATGGAACAACCCGCTACACCTTCCAGACCTACGCGACCTCCTCCTACTCCAGCCACTCTCTCCTCGCAACCATCAACACCGTCCGCTCCACCTTCGCCGCCGCCGCTCTCCCCTTCATCGCCCGTCTTTGTGACATGTTTGGCCGGATCGAGATCTTCGTCGTCTCTGTCCTCTTCTATGTCGTCGGCACAATCATCGAGTCTCAGGCCTACGACGTTCAGCGCTTCGCTGCTGGTGCCCTCTTCTATCAGTTTGGCTACACCGGCTCCATCGTCGTCCTCCAGCTTATGGCTGCTGACTTCTCCTTCCTCAACTGGCGTGTGACTGCTTCTTTCGTCCCCGCCCTTCCCTTCATCATCAACACCTGGATCTCTGGCGACATCACCTCCGCTCTCGTCAACACAACCAGCAACCGCTGGTCTTGGGGTATCGGAATGTGGGCCTTCATCTATCCTCTTCTCGCCATTCCCTTGGTCCTGTGCTACCTTCACATGTACTACCTTGCTCGCAAATCTGGAAAACTAGCTTCCGCAAAGGCTGATGACGTCGCTCGTCGTACGACTGAGAAGCCTTCCTGGCATTATATGTCGATCGCCAAGATCGCCTGGGAGATGGATATCGTCGGAATCATCCTCTTCGCTGCTTCCCTCTCGTGCTTCCTCACCCCGTTCACTCTTGCGGGTGGCACAAAGACTAGCTGGCAGAAGGGTCACATTATCGCCCCCCTCGTCGTCGGTTTCTGCCTATTCCCTGTCTTGATCTTGTTTGAGCGTTACATCCAGTCTCGTTCGTTCACCTGGTTCATCAAGCCCTTACTCCCCAAGCACATGCTTGCCGATCGCGGTGTCTGGGCGGCTATGGGAATCGCTATCTTCATCGACTGGGTCTGGTACATGCAGGGTGACTATCTCTACACCGTCCTTTACGTTGCGGTCAACGAGAGCGTTGCATCCGCCACTCGCATCACCTCTTTGTACTCCTTCGTCTCTGTCATCACTGGCACCATCCTCGGATTCGTCGTCGCCTATGTCCGTCGCATCAAGGCTTTCATCATCTTCGGAATCAGCATGTGGTTCGTCGCTTTGGGTCTGATGATCCACTACCGCGGTGGAACATACGCTCACTCTGGCATTATCGGTAGTCAGTGCCTCCTCGGTTTTGGTGCCGGTTTCTTCACCTACCCTGCTCAGGCATCCATCGCCTCCTGCACCACTCACACCTTCATGTCCACCGCAATCACCCTCTATCTCTCCATGTACTATGTCGGCTCTGCTTTCGGTACCTCGGTCTCTGGCGCCATCTGGACCAACCTTCTTCCCGAAAAATTGCTGGAGAATCTTCAAAACGCGACTTTGGCCGCCTCCGTCTACGGCGATCCCTTCACCTTCGCCGCCACATATACTATCGATTCTCCCGAGCGTCTCGCTGTCATCCACTCGTACTCTCAGGTTCAGAAAATTCTCTGCATTGTCGGCATCTGTCTTTGTGTTCCTTTGCTCGCCTTTGGTTTCCTCCTCAGAGACCGTGAGATGCTTAGTACCGATCAGTCCTACTCTGTCTCTGCCGTCGAGGAAATCAAGGAGCAGCACTTGACTACCTCTGAGAAGATCAAGGGTATCTTCTCGCTGCACCTCAGTGCCCGCAAGAAGGACGAGAGATTGAACTTGAAGAATACCCTTGTATTCAAGGGTCGCTAGATGGACCTTAAGAATATTGTCTTACAATCGACTTATATTCCTATTTGTTTAATTTACTTCTTTGGTTGTCGTTTTTGATTATAATCTGTCTTATGAGCTTTGTTTGACTCTGCAACAGAGGAACGATCTTACATTATCTGTGTATGATCATTTTAATATCTTTAATACTTCTTTCTACTATTCAATCACTCTAAACGTAGGCGTATTAGCTTCTTTATAGCAGTCTTCACGTGACTGCGTAATATAGCTTCTTAACAGTCTTCACGCAACCGCGTAATATATAGTGGCCGTAAGTAGGTGAACGTCAGAGAACTCCGCAGAATGCTCTGAGTATATAATTAGCTATGTTTGGCTAACTTATTGTAGCAGGACCCTGTCGCATAGAGTTTAGGGGTGTTTTTTTCCTGCTCTAGTTGCCTCTGCCGTCAACTATAGTGCTGTCTTCAAAGACAAATCATGTTAAGTTACAGTTATCCTCTATGTTTGGTGAGTTTGTGATTCTCAAATAAAAGATTACTCCAAATATGAATATTGCTGCCTCGGCTGGAGTTTCAGTTTGCCCATACCTCAAGCTACGTCCAGATGATCAGAGTCTAGAACTCGGAGGCCAACGCCCAGTTACTTGGCATTCTGCTGATGCATGTCTATCTACGCGCGAGAAGAGGCGGTCATACGCAAGCCGATTCATATCACTCTGAATAATGTACTAATAGCCACTATTCGTATGCTTTGTATGGTCTCTGGGGTAAAAGTGAAGTAAACGATGGGTATATCATAGCATCTGAGGAGAGGATAGTAAAATTAGAGTATGGTTCACCCTCGCCTCTTCTCACAGACGCCTTCGGCTATTAAGCCTAAATTTCTCCGAGAGCATGGCCATTGATGTCCATCCTGTGAGCACGTACCTAGAATTTGGACTACGTGTCGCTGAGGTTCTAGTCAGGAACTCCTGAGTCTTTAAGAGGAGGAGGTTGTCTCATATCGTGCTATGAATGCTTTCTGAGCCTATTTCTTGCAAACAGATGGGTCATATAGAGTAAATTATAGCAACGTCTAGAAAAACGCAGCTTCTTAAACGAGGCAGTACTCTGAGATATTTTGCCCAGAAATTATCACTCAATGTGGCAGCTCTTCGACGCAGCGAGGTCACTGCAAAATCTTGATGCGACCAGTAAAACTGGCAGTTCTCCCAACCCTCTATTCCCGCAAGCCTAGAACGCTCTCAGTCTCAACCACTTCTTCGCAGAAGACCACATCTCGGCCGTCTAATATTAAATGACCGCGTAAGCTGGCTTCCTGGCAGTGTTGCGCGTTTTTAATTGTTGAGCGACTTCGCCATGTCTTGACGATGGTATATTGATCTGGGGCTACATACGAGTTGTCATAACTGACTGAACCTGATCCGTCTATTTAATTTATGTCACGGATTTCTCCGAATCAACGCATGAAGTAATCAGCTCCTGTACCGCTGTTCGAAGCGTCCAGCCTGCTGAAAGCTTTACATTTTTCTAGCTCTGAAGGCACACTGCTGGTAAATTCTCATTTCAAATCAAAACGCAGAACGCAGAACCCTGGTGTTGCATAAACCCACAACTACTGCTTCTCTTCGCTTTCATCACCTCCATAACCCGTATTGCCATCTAACTTTATCATAATACAATATACAAGGGCTACTATCGACCCCATACCACTCAAGCCAATAGCCACATAGAACGCACTGCGATATCCTTCCAACAGATGAACTCCATCTTTGTTCACTTGAGCCTCAGCTGTACCCGCGATTCCCAATCCGATAGAAACTGCATAGTTGACGACAGTGTTGATAACTGAGCCAGCCACTCCCTGGTGTTCCCGTCGCATTGAATTACTGGAAATGATAGTTCCAGATGGGAACGACATATCCATTCCAAAAGGGATGATCACGATTCCGACAAAAGTCTGCGCCCAATATATCTGATTCACAGGCAGAGTTGCAAAGATGATATTTCCGACACAAAATGCAAGCATAGAAGCCAAGATAATATACTGCGCTGGTATCCTGGAGAGCAAAAATCCTGTCCCGATCGCAGCAATGGTTCCGGAAATACCAGCCGGTGTTTGCTGAGCGACCGTGAGAAGTATGCTGTGTCCACGAAGTTGCGTTGATATTTGCCACCAGTAGAAAACCCAGATACCAAAGCTGGACCATCCAAGCGCCATACACGCAAAAACAAAGTATATATCTCTCTTGAACTCTCGGATTGGTAGGATCGGGTACTCTGACCATCGTAATTCAATAAAGATAAAAATTGCAAAGAATAGAACGCCCAAAATAAGCAGAACGTATGTATAGGGAACGTTCCAGCCAACGTTTGGACCTTGGTTCCAGGCGATGTTGAAAAGTACTAAACCGAGGACACCAGTAGTGATTCCAGCTGGATCCAGCCTCGACAAGTCTTCCCATCGAAACGAGGTCAAGGCACCCTTATCCAGACCCGTCGGAATAGCATAGAAACTCACTATAGTCGCGAGAATCATGACCATACCCCCAACCCAGAAGTTCCACGGCCACCAAACCAGTTCAGTGAAAATGCCGGCAAAGGTTGCGCCTAGAAGGAAGCCGGTGGGCGCCACCGCACCAAAAATCGAAAACGCCATATTTTTCCTCATTCCAGGTTTGTAGGCACGTCCAAGCAAGGCCAGTCCATTAGGAAGAATCAGGGCGGGTCCGATGCCCTGGAATGCACGACTGAAATGGAAGAGAATGACATTGGAGTAGACCGCAAAGCCGGCGATCAAAGTCCAGATTGTGAACCAAATGTACCCAAGCAGAAAGACCTTTCTGGAGCCAAAAATATCGCCGAGTCGCCCGGCGGGAAGGATAAAAGTGCCGACAGTGAGCGAGTAGGAAGCACAAAACCACGATAGCTCTCCAGGCTTACTGACACCAAAGGAGTCGCCAATATCATGAAGCGGAGACAGAGCTTGAGCCAAACACGCTTGAGTCAAGAGCTGGGCAAGTGCGACAACTCCAACAAACAAAATCTCCTTGAATAGTGACATCTCTGCGATGACTTTTCCTGTTGTCGAAGCTGGCCGCAGATCGGTCATATGCTGCTCAAGATCATCCCCTAACTCGAGCTCGTGGCGGGTGGTGTCCATTGTGTAGCTGTTGGATTGCGGAGCGCTATGCTCACTCCCACCTCGTTGATGAGATGGAATACGGCTGAAGTAAGTACTGAAAGTGAAAGGTCTTCAAGGAATATTCGGATACATGCTGATAAAGTACTCGGCATGTGATGGAGGTGTCAATCGTGTTTCTATATAACAAAGAGACACGAATCGAGGAGGGCTTCTTCATGGCGCGGAGATAAACCCTTCCGAAACTTTAGTTCCGTATTCGGCCCACGGAAGTCCCCTCAGAATACTTAAATCCGACCCGATGGAGATCGTCTCTCCGCACTGCCGGCCTTTGCCGGCCGTTAAACATTGATGATGATTCAAGACCCGTTCTCCTCAAATATCAATGCTAGAGAGGTTTTATTATAGCAGAGCTTGTTCTGGACCTAGCAAGATCTCGGAACTGATTTCGCGTTCCTGGTAAGAAATCTGAGACACTGTCAAGATGCACATCCGAAGAGCTCCTTCACAGGCCGCGCTTCCGATTCGCATGCCGGGCCGCTTATGTTTGAACATATCAGCTATTCTCGATTTTGTGAAATAACAAACGAGCTTCTTGAATATGTTCACCCGCTGGCCTGTGTCGGAATCAACTTTTTAATATCCTGGACCAGGGATGAAGTCCATAACATACTACAGTTGATCACTCCTGTCACCGGGTAAGCACAGGGTGATAGAGAATACAAATGCATCATCTAGCGCTTCATTATAGAGAGTGGACTTAGAAGCCTTTGAATTGCCAAAAATATCTCATATATTTGCTATTCTCGTAGTTTGCTATACTGCTATATTTTCCGTTACCGTTTAGACGTAATACTCAAATCCACGATCATGTGCTAAATAGCCACCGCCTTTCCCCGCAAATGGTTTCCCCACAGATCACTTACACCAGAACACAATCATAGAACAGGACTGGTATGGTGAACCGGTATAATCTAGCAATATATGAAAGCTCTTCAGCTATCACTGATTTGATACATCATATCCGGCTCCTCTGAAATATTGCTAAGTCGGAAGTTCGGGTCCTCGGCGCGTGCATGGGAATCAAGAAAACAATGCACTTAGAAGATGATTTATTGTCCTTGGCTTCCAGACCCTCGGCTACCTGGGGATTAGGCGAGGTATGGTGTCACATGTGTCAGCCTTGATATGCGCATTCCTCTTTCGTTTGAAGAACACCGTCAGAAGAACCCAATCCTCATTTATACGAATGGCCAAATACAAAGCATCATTTCTAAAATATTTCAGGTTTTTTGGTATCAATAAAGGATTTTATTTGATCTGTAGTACAGGAGTACCATTAACAATCCACAATTTCAGTAGGCGCGCTCACCAAAATAAAAATAGCAACTAGATATCACAAAAAGAGAAGAAACCTTCAACCCAAAAATTCCCAATAAGCAGATACAGTGAATCAATAATACAAGTATTCATAGTCATATTTCATAACACAAAACCCAGAATAACCACCAAACATACAAAGACGATGACTTAGTCTTGAAGGCAAGACAATCGGAGAGATAAGGAGTTTAAGCAAAGTTGATCTTTCCCATCTTTGGGTAAGTACCGTTGGAATCCTGGTAAGCCCAGTGAACGCCAATGGACTGACCGACCAACTCGCCAGGCTCCTGATTGAAGATCGGATGAGCGTTGCCACCGTAGTTGTAACTGTCACCCTTTGTGGTTGCCCACAATAGACTATTTGTCACATTCCAAGGCCCGAGCGGCGTAGGAGCCGTGATGGCGTAAAACTTGCTGTCAACCCAGTTGTTGAAGTATACCAAGAAGTACTGGTTGTGATACTCTGAGTAGTACATGGAACCAGAAGAGAAGGGCTCAGTTCCCTGGATGACAGCAGAGCTTTTCTCGCGCTGAGTTGGCTGAGGCTGAGTGTAGGACCAGGTCTTTGATGAAGCGTTCCAGTACTGGTACGCCGTCGAATCGTCAAAGCTAGCGACTGGGACCGAAGCCACATGAATATCGTAATTGCTGGAGTATGTCTTGTCGATTGCGTAGAGGTATACGACTCCGTTGACGACAAGGTTGGCAAATGAACCGTATGGGTAGGTCGAAGTGCTAAAAGCGTACTCGTTCTGGCGCGTGACAGTCATCTTGTTGGTTGAGCTATTAATTGAGTATCTCGCAACCGTGTTTCCATAGTATGAGCTGGACGACGACGACTTGAACTTCTGCACGTTGAAAAAGTGGGCAGCTGTGGTCCCGGACAACTGAACACAGTTGGTATAGGTCCAGAAAGCATAACGTTTGCTGTTGGAGTATGACGCCTCCGTAGTCGTGAAGGGGATGGGAGAGAAGTAGCCAACCGAGTCCGAGAGTGTGAAGTCCTTGAGGATGTTGGGTTCATCAAAGTCTTCGACCATGCCCATACTGGTCGTGGCAAAGCCGGCAAAGTCACCATTGGCCTTGTATCCACTCGTATCCGCAAACACAAAGAACGTGCGGTTGTTCAGCGTGCAACTGCCACCATCGTCACGGTAAATGCTCCAGGCGTTGCTCGGGTCATATAATTGTCCCAATTCTGTGGTGCTCGACACCTTAAGAGCTCGGGACATCGAGCCCATGTTGTATTTGGTCTTTACCCATGTGACGGGATTGGTGTAGGTAGGGACAGAGAAGGACGTGGACGCGGTGGGAGTCGCGGCGGCAGCGAAGGACGCGCCTACTGAGAGGGCGACGACAAAAGAAAAGTGCATCTTGATATTATGTCTTCAAGAGAGGTGTTCCTTGGATGAACAGTGGAGGAAGGGAGATCAGGCTGATTATAACCCGGAAACGAGACGGGTCACACAGCAGCGAAGGCATGTTCCTTATATGCGCGTAGATGATAACCAGATGCCATGTTATCAAGTGACCGACCAGGAGGCCGTGTCAACGGGCAAAGGTGTGAGCTGCAGGCGATGGGTACCACATCAGGTACCACATCCTGGTTGGCGTCCGTTTAGTCGAGAGGGATACAACTAAGTCAGCTGGAGCATCTGTGCGTCATTTTCATAGCGCAGTTCGAGAGACAAAGGATTAAGAGAACTGCTGGAGAGTCTTGATGAAGGATAGTTTTGTTTACTCGCGGCTGCGTTGAGAAACTAAGTTTGGGTGTGAAGGCGACGGCAGCGGCGCGCTAGCTGCAGCGTTCCTGCCCAGCGTCAGCACCATCCCGGTCCTTGGGTACCCTGCCGGACGCTGAGACGACCAAATGAAAGACGGAGAAAAAAGCGCAAGAAAAAGCAAGCAAACTGGTCAAAGGCGGAATTTGCTCTCCGCGGAAAAGCACAGACACTGGAGCAGATGAATAGACGTTAATGATCGTCTAGGCGGTGGACAGAGGACGGTGGGTCGGCTGTAAGTAAAGTTCGAGAGTGGTATTTCCTCAGAATCTGGCAGGTCCGACCTTCTACGCGTTCACGCGGGTTCCTACGCCGCTTAGGTTCCCGAATAGCATCACGTTGATTGACATATCATCTGACATACATATTTTCGGTACAGGAGAAATACGGAGAGACTTGCTTTTGATGTAGTGGCTCCCTGAAATTCAGCGGGAGGAGACTTATCGCTGGAACGGCTGAATGTGCCACCTGATCCAAGCGTTACCCAGTTCATTATATATGAGTGACTTAATCGGTAGCGATGATCAATATAATTGATCGTCGGGGTTCTTACAATTCGGAGCATCCCATAATTTAACGTCGTTCCTTAATACTATGACTGTATTTGAAACAGGAGCGGGGTGCTGTGGTTCCTGTGTTTCTGCGGTAGTATAGTTAGGGCCCCAAGGAGGTTAGTACCTTCAGGGTCTTGCCGGCAACCAACGTTTCAGTATGGCAGTAGCCCTACTCCACCCTGCGCAACTATCCCTGCGACTAACGGTTCTAGAGACAATTTACCTATACGAGAATCAATGGTGGGGTCCTGGCTCTACTTTACTGTCAGAAAAAAAACACACCAGCAGTCAGACCAATATGCCATTTCAAAAATCCGAAATTTCTCGGCTTCAGGGTTTAGTGAGCTGAGCCGAAAATTTCTCCGAAACGGGGTGCGCCATGGATGAGCAACGACGATGTAGCGGCACTTAGACATTTCCGAGCTGCTGGATCATCATCTCTACTCGATCTCATCATCACTGTTTATTTATAATGCCTATGTGATTTTATATGACAAGATGGAGGTTTTCCGGCAGACAGGAACACTACAAAAAAAGCAGCACAATACTCGACCAGGAAAAAGAATCACAAAACGAAATTCGAAGAAAAAGAAAAAAGAGGATGAAAGCCAAGCCGAGGTAGGTTCCTGGATTCTCGGGACGGATTCTGGATCCGGACCTTGTCCTCCCGACCTCGTCTCCAGTGTTTAGCCCTCATCGCTAGATAGATTACTAATCATCACTACCACCGGAATGTCGTCCTGCATAATGCAGCGTACCCAAAAATTTGATAGTGCAGATGCAACCATAACTCACAATACCCACCATAATACTGCAATCCAATTACAACATATGCTGATATTACAGACAAGCACACTGAACCACTTGCTCTGAAGATTAATATCAGAGGTGACATGCTGTGAGTGTGCGTACGGAGACGAGTCGTGGATGTCGTTCATATACTTCACAGCTATCAAATCCGGGTCACAGAATGTGGTGACCGTCAGCTGCATGTTCACATTCTTTATATGGCAGAACGCAAACAAGTACCTTTTCAATGGGCTCTGATTTTTGCTTATTCTTGAGCTGTTCGTGTTTAGAAGCAAGCCGGATCTAGCAGACGGAAAATATAGCAGAAACAGCGTGACTACGATCATCAATGTTTGTTGGGCCAACGTTGTTTTCCGTAGTTGATCGTCGGTCAAACGATTGGATGCGATAGGATCCTCTCCGCTCCAACCTCTTCTAGTTATATTCTACCAAAAAGATAATACTCCACCACAGTAACTTATAAGCCGTACATAAATATATTATGGAATATAATGCCCTTTAACTGACCGAGCTATAGAGATCTACAGCCTGTCTATTCTACAGCCGAGAAATAGGGTGATACGATCTGAAATTCGGAGCTCGCCTAGCTGAGCAAGAGCCATTTTCATCCAATCCACTCTATGAGTTTCCTGAGCCTTTTAGCTTCTCGCCTCCCGGATCTTATGAAAGAGGCAGGTCCAGACATCGTCTCGTTTCGTTTCAAATTTCACCCTTCCTTCACCCTGAACGCGTGACGCGTCCGAACTACCTTTTGTAGCAATAAACTTTGACCGTACTCTGGTCATTGCTCAACAGCAAACTCCTGTTTACCATCAATGATCTTCAAGAAATGAAAATATCGCGACCTCATCTGGGATTGATCCCATCCAGGTTCGTTCGTCCAAGATCAATTATTTCTGTACGACTTCGTAATAATAGAATAGATGAGAAAGCAGGATCACAGTGAGTGAATAGTATATAGTGGCTACGAGAAGAAATAATATCATGCCAACATTCTCGATATATCTGCAAGAGTCCTTAGATATGATGGTTATCTATCAGCTCTAGAACGCAGTATTGAAAGTTCGGTCGCTATTTCTCTGCTTGCATTAAGCGGCTCCCACCTGTTTTTGCTTTAGTGAACAGTAGTCAGAACTAGCCGCTAGCGACGTTATAGCGAGGCTACTCGCTGGGTACTCACTAACGTAGCATTCCTCGCTACAGAACTGTCGTTAATACTGACTTCGCGTCCACTACTCTCAGGATCGCATACTACGAACGAGCCGCAATCATGGATCATTCAGTACGTAGATCAGCAATACCAGACGTGTACGCGGGCAGTAAAATCTGTACTATATCTTGTTCGATGGAACAGACTATCATTAGCTACCACATAAAAGCGTGTCCTAAAGAGTTGCTGATTTGATTCAATGCGGTAACCATGTCTTCTTGTATGAATTTTGGAGCGCATCAGATTTTGCGAAGAAGCCTAACGATACGGATCGCGTATCATAATTCAATAATACTTTCGCGCAGCCGTTCGCATTTTCCGAGAAAACTGGCGGCGCTATGTCTTCATCCGAGGTATTTTCTTTCGCGAGGAATGCATCATCCTGTGAGGGCCCTCTCCTAAGAGGCATGCTCTAATGTGCGGCTACAAATTAGCCAATGACTGGTTGGGATCGTGACGCACTGACCCATTACCTCTCGTCAACGATGGCTCAATCTCTCTCCGCGCTCTACCATCATCCACAGGCCTCACAGAAAAAGTTCATCTCGGTAGGCTCGAAAACCTAACGATATCGAGTTATCGCACATGCCAGTCATGAATGGTCAGAAGGCTTAGCTTGCTTAAACAAATAAGATCATCTGACCACTTCAGCGGGGATGGTAAATGCTCTAGAGCTAGAGATAACGGGACACACTATATGACGTCATAGCCAGGCCGTTTGATTCTAGCATTTGGTATTTAGAGCCAACCAAACGGTCTGACGCGTCCTGTCTACCCTCAATCGTCAACGGCAAAAAACTAACTGCATTGGTCGCGCACTGTTTGAGATCTTTATTTTTACAAATCGAGTGAAAAGGAAAGGCGTCATGACGTCGATATTATGACGTTGTCGTTATAACATCAGATCTACTTAGGTACAGATACGGGTACAGATCCAGATTATAAAGAAGAATATATTCGTGTCATGACGACGTTTACTCAAATGATCCAATAGGAAGTCCAAATCCCTCCTCAGGAATATCCAAAAGAGAGGCTGTCCGCTCATAATCAACTCCTGCCGCATACACGTCATTTCCCCACCACGATAGGTTCACCTGAGGATACTGTAATGCTGCAAAGATAATGACTCCGCCAAAAGCAACACCAGCAGACAGTCCGGACGTAAGAATATAGTTGTACTTTGACCACCAACCGGTATATCGTTTGCGCAAGTACCACATGAAGAAGAAGGAAAAGTAGAAGCCAGGAATGTAGTAAGTCAGATTGTATGTCTGACCCCAGAAAATCGTGCCGTAACCAATGAGAGGAAGATCAAACCACGTCCACTTATTCCTATATTTCAAGCGCAAAAGTCCAAACGGAACCGCGAGGGCTGCGCCAATCCAAAACGCATTTTTAAGAGCAGGATAAAGGCCTGAAAGAACTCTCTGTGGACCAATGATACCATACATGATCGCGTCCGAATAAACTGTGCGTGGGAAAGCACACACGAATTTATCCTTCTGAGTCGTACTGCAAAAATCGGCGACTGAACTGAACAAAGCCTCGACTGCACCCACAGAGCAGAAGCATTGGATCAATGTCGCCAGACACTGAGCCCGGAAAGCTGCCTTCTGCGGAATTCGAGAGTAATGCGCGATCTTCTGATCTCCAATGAAGCTCTCAGCCTGCTCGTCGATATTGTAACTAGACAGAATTGCAAAGTTAGCTGGATGCGTCAATTGAGATAGAAATGACTAAAACTTACCCCCACATGCGAATCACGACATTAGTGATTGGATTTCCAGGATCCATATAACCCGCCAGAATGACTGAAAAGGCGCCAAATCCCATAGATACACCGCTTCTTGACAGCACGACAAGAGTAGGCATAAGCATTCCGATATTGAAAAGGAAAATCGCGATAACGGTCCATATCGGAACAGTGGTCGGCCAACCAAAAATGGCAGCAAATCCGGTACCAACGCCAATGATAAAGATAACGATATACCACCAATCGGGGACTTCATCATATGAGGACATCATCTTCGAATGAGGGTCGTCAAAGTCCTGCAGTGCTGCGCGGCGTGGATGACGGAGTGAAGTCCACATCATCTTCAAAGACTCCCAGAGCAGCTTGTATTCCGAGATGCAGACGTACACAAACGTGCATGTGTACACAGCCCACAGCCCTCCGGTGCCCACAACATGGCCAGACGAGATGTAAGGCGCAGAGTAGCTCTCATAAAGTTCTTGAGAGAACTTATTGTTTGAGTCCAAGATTTTTGACAGATTGTAGGTGTTTCCCTGGGAGTCGTAAACAGTGTTGACGTTCATAGGCAAATATGCAGTCCAGCGGTGATTCGTCCAGTACAGAATGACCATAATAATTCCCGTGATGAGAATTCCCAAAAACTTGTTCATAAACGCAAAGAAAGGATAGACCAAAGGGCTGCCATAGTTGATCACTGACCAATCGAATGTCGGAAGAGGGTTGACCCCAAGGCCCAAGTAAGAGCCAGTAGCCATTGCCAGCAGTTTGCTGCGGGGCGCTATCCATGTCATCCAGTTGAAGACGCTGAGTGACTTGAACAGAAACGATGGGATAAAAAAGTAGAGCAGAGACGTAATGAACACAATATAAAAAAACTTCTGTCTTGTGATCGTCCAACCGTTGATCGAAGTTTTGGTCTCTTTGACAACCAATGCCCGGCTCAGCGCAAGGGTAGGCAAGATGTTTGGGAAAACCGCCTTGACAGGAAAGATAACCAGCTTGCGCATCATTCCAGCCAGACCGTATCCGAAAAACAGACTAGCAAAGTTCATAGTCCACGCGAAACCAAAGGAGACCCATTTGTAGCCAAAGAAACGTTCGTGCTTCAGTGCGACAACCATGCTCATCCAATTAGAGCTTTGGGAACCAACGTTGACCATAATCGTTGCAAGCATCTGCTCTTTCAAAGTCCAAGGGCCCGGGTTGAGAGAGTAGCGCGTTCCTCTGAACGTGAAGCCCCAGTCTGGAAGCAGCTGAGACAGTTTCCCAGAAGGAAATAGCAGAAGCTGGATAACGGTAGACGGCAACTTGAGGGCAGGCTGACGAAAGATGAAGAACTCGTTGATGAAGCTCCCAATGGCAACCCAAAGAGTCCCAATAACATACGCGCGAATAGTCTCGACTGCGATCGTAGGGTCGTCGAACGGATCGGTGACGGCACGAACCTCGGGGTATGGCGAGTGATAATGAATCACAACAGCTTCGAGACGAGTGTCAAGTTCGTACGTCTCGAGGTCTGTCCCGTACGCATCCTGACCCGCAACAAGAAGCTTGATCTTCTCATAGGTTTCTTGCTCAAAATTGACATCTCCATAATGGACGACAAGAACATTCCTCAGAATCTCGAGAGCTTCTTCGAGCGAAGTTTCGAGCATGCGGTCGTATAAGAAGTGCGAAGCACGATCAGCCAGTGCATCCTCGTCGCCGGTGTCGCCAACATTGTTCATCAATCGAAGTCGCGAAACGATCTTTTCACGATGAAGCGGATCAACCGAGTGGTTATCAGACTTGATGGAATCAGTCCGAAATTGGGCGTCAGACTTCTCAGAAACGAGAGCAGGATCATAGCCACGAAAGCGCACATCCCGCTCAACGTTAAGCTCGACAGCACTAACAACAGATTTCTCGTCTTTCGAAGTCATTGCTGTAAAGGGTATTGGGAAGGTAGGAAGAAGGGTTGACAGTAAGGCAAAGTGGGTCGCAAGAGATGATGCGTAGAGGACAGTTTATGAATGGCGATAGAGAGTAGAACAGATAATGGTTTTCAGTTTCCGTGATAAGGAGCAGGTATGATGCTATCAGAACCAGTTAGGCTTATCAGAGAAGATAGTAGTCGAGTTGATTTCCTTCCAAGAAAATGGGTATCGAGCCAAGGATTGTTTTTTGATATGGGCTCACTGTGCCGCTTCTCGAGGACTCACAAGCTCGTGCCACAGCTTCACTTTTTCGTAATACAGTTATACTGTAGTGGAATAATCATATTCCTTAGTACTATCATTATCACTGCGCATCCATATATGTTATAAAATTAGAACGAGATGATGTGGACGATAAATTTGAAAGGGTTTGAATTTGCCGAAATTTCCCTCGTGATTCTCATTGTACGAAGCGGGGTATTACATGGCGAACAATTGATTGATAAGTCAGCATAAGACTTCAAAGTAGACCACGATCGTAAAGGCATATTCCCGGTCATGACACTGGATCAGCACATCCTTTGCTTGGCGTTAACGAGAAAAACATGGTAGGATGCGGTGCAAATCAAGTGTCGAGCTTGGATGTGTTGAGAAGCGCTCTTAAGGTTTCAAGTTCCTCGGCAAAGTCGAAAACTTCGATTTCAAACGTGCGAATAGAGAGCAACATATTGACCCGAACTATCCAAGATTGGTCTGATTCTATGTCGGGGTTTTCATATGAGAATTTATCACTCAACAATAGTCCCGAATGGCGCAATACAATATTGATAATGCTTGATTACCGCACCTCTTTCGATGCTATCATCTGCAGAACAATGCTGCGCTTGGGCAATTACCATCTTTCTAATTTTCGATTTTATAGATATTCTCAATTCAGACTGAGTCTTGGACTAACTCTTGGCGATTGTTAGAAAGCAATTTGTTGCGATAAGAAAATAAGGATTGCATCTAATCCGACCAGATGATTACAGTAGTATCTGCTATCTTTACTGCAAGGAGTCCAGTTGCTTGCGAGCAATAGATCTACCCGGCTAGAAGAATTCAACGATGAACGATTGACATGTTGAGGTACCATTGATGTTTATGATGGTTGTTAGCATCACATTGACAGTCTATTCTATTGTGCATTACACCGCCGAGCGTTTTAGTTTTCCTTTACAGTTGGCATCCCCGTTAGTGTCTTGCTTTTGCTAAGGAATCTTCTGATATTGCGCTGGCTATCTCCAATATCGTCATATATTACTTCGAAACAATTGCCAAACGCAGCACATCAGTAGTAGGAATTAGTAACACGAACACAGCCTTGACGGCTTCTCCCGAAAATATTAGTGACATTCTTAATCATTCTTTATCGATATCTCATATGCTTATGTCGGGAAGTTGATCACATGCGGCATCTGCTTCTCCCCTGGTCTTATATATCATGCTTTAGCAAGACTACCAAGGTGTGCATTCTGCAGATATATTTTCAGCGGTCTGTTATATCGAGCTTGGTCTTCATACGACTTATTTCAATGGCAAGTAGATATGCTCTATGCTTCAGCACGATCGAGCAATTATTGGTGGCTAATTTGTTCTGATTCATGTAGCTATAACACCAGAGGCGAACAAGACGGAGGTCCAGCCAATACCGGTTCCCAAGCCGATTTTTGAAAAGCCACTGAGGATCATACAACAAGTAAACCTCATGATCAAACAAAAGGAAGAGTAGAACGAAAATACCCAAAATATCTTATCACGCTTCTTCATTTCTGTCAATAATACTTTGCGCTTGAAGCTATCCTTGACCCCAAGCGACTCTTGGGTAGTGTTCAAATGCGGGACACTAGCGAGGCCACCATTACACTAACAAATGTTGTCCCAGTCATACTCTTTTATGACGTGACTTTCTTGGGTATTGTAGAGGCTTTGCGCTACCTTGGTATGTGAACTTGCGTGCCCGTTTAATTTAGGATATTACCGGACGCCTGAGAGGTATACGATAAAAACAGGGTATTGATAGTTAATGACAGTAAGGATTGCATCAGAAGTCAGGTGATCAACACCCGTTCAAGTGTTGTACGCACCTGGAGAGACGTCAATCTGGGTGGGCATCCACGAGAGACCGCCCAGATGCAGCAATGTATCGTATTTGCTGCATCGTATGTATCCCTGGGTTAGAGCCAATGTTGGACTTGGAAGGTACATCAGAAGTAGACACCGTAGCCTAATCATTAGGCGTGCGATCAAGATTAGCAGCAACAGTAGTGGTAGCATCCGCGGCAGGAGCAACCGAACGTAATCGAAAGGCGTCATGAAGTCCGGGTGGCACGTCGGCTGACTACTCGTCAATTTCACTGCATGGAGAGTCCTTCTTCAGACCAGCTTCAAACGAAAACACTACTGCTTGAGGAGCGACATGAACAGCGTTTCCTGCTGATCGACACCTAAATTGTTCATCAAAGCATTGAGAGAGCTTCCCTGAAGGAGCGTCGGAATAGAAAGGATTTCAGGTCCAGGAGGCAGACATACCAATTGCAAAATAGAAAGCCAGAACGAGCGCGCCCATTTTTGCTTCTTAATTGAACAAGTGGGAGTTTCGAGCTCGTGAAGCTCGCAAAGGGCCTGGGCGTGATATGCAGTCCCGGGCCTCCATAAAGAACCTCCCGGTCTGCTTCTTGGGAGTAGACACCAAGGCGTGTATTAGAGCAGAGGCTCGCTCATGTCTTGAATGAGTCCCAAGCTCTATCATGGCGTCAACTGCGGGATTGGCGGGGCGAGTTGTGAGGAGGTGCAACATAGGTGGCTCTGACGATCAGAGTGAAAAGCATGCTTCTAGCCGCAGAGAAATCAAGTCGGGCCTGATTGCCTAACGTGTTGATGACGTATCCTGAGCCCATACTTCAAAATGAGTGTCCAATATCGGCTGCTAGTTGCAGCTTCCAGACAGGTGCAAAGTTGCAGGCTTTGCAGCGGCAATTAGTGAACCCCGTAGATTGCATGACTGGTTGGGTGCTGAACCCTGAGAGGTTGACTTTGTAACTCAGTCCAACGCGCAACGTAAATTTGCTGATGAACAAACATATGCTTATGAGACGTCGCTCTGAGACGAGGAAGAAGTCCCTTCAGATATGTCGATGGTCAAAGGAGCATCACACTATGATGTTATTGGCCGAGATACTAACATCAGACTAGAGCCTCATTCATCATAACTGCTAGAGCTTACCAGGTTAAATGCCTGCAAAGAATCTGAGAAAGGTCATAGTTCGACCGGAATCGAAGGCTTTGGTGGTGGTTGAGATCTTGTCGGGAGCGACGTGATGAGGGAGGAAGATGAAAATGACAATTCACGGCAATTGTGCGTGCCTTCAATCAATTGACGTTGTGGCAAGACGCACTGATTTCCATTCGGACTGGTGTGAATAATAGCATTGCGTAGTGGCAGCTGGCTACGGGAGAGACAGCGGAATTAATTTCAATTTGAGAGGGCCCGATGTCGTCCTTGACTCGCTTAGAGACGCTTGCTCAGGTGGTGGTTGGTGGTGGTTGGGTTGATCACGTGCATACGTTTTTCCTACCAAAGTTAACCCCGGATAACGGTGAATCCTGAGCAGATCGCATTTCTAACAGCTACGCAATGAGGTCCGTAAGGGCTTGACCTTAATAAGAGCTCCACGCAAGAAGACGCAAGAAGATGAGGGAGTAGGTGTGCGACGCGCATATGCGAGCTCCATGCAGCTGGCCCACACTGTGAATCAGGCGGCAGGCCCAGAGCCGAAGCCAAACTACATTCCATCGCCTCGATCTCCTCCTCTCCTCTTTCTCGTCCCTTAATATACAATTCACGATTCTCAGTTACTATCCACTGCGTTTCTCACAGCTGCCAGCCTCTCGGTAACCTTTTCCGTGATGGGCTCTATATCTCCTGACGGACTCACCGCAGAGATACTTAGATCACCGCTTGGTCAACGCTTTAATACCCTTCTGCTCTGTCATGCGAACTCATCGGCATTGGTAAACAAAGGAGTTAGCTCGGGAGGGACTTTCCGAAACCGGTATTGACGACTATCATCTCGTTCGAAGATAAGCTACTGTTGACGTCCGTACATGTCCCTTTTCAAGCACAGCGCGCGACGTAATCATTGCTGTAGCAATAACTTTTTGAATTTGTGGAAAGCTATACCCAATGGCATCTAGACCCTAGACTCAGACGATGATTTGGTACACGCAAACTATAGATCTGCCAATTAAAAATCATTCGGCCTAGCTCCTCACAAGGATGCGTGAACGAACGGCGGACAATCAGCTCTTATTTGCTCTTCACCGTTGGTCTTTATATACTGCTACTGTAGGCTACAAAAAAGACAGTCTTCTATGAGGCCTCTTTGATTGTTCAAGATGGTAAAATACCCATCATCTCAAGCTCATAACCTCTACTGGCGCCCGTTTGATTATCCGTATCTGACAGTTTTCTGCTATCCTCTCCCGAGGTAGGGTCTGACGGCGACAGAGCCGAAAGACAGAAACGGTTAAGTTTCAGTAGATAGACTTCAGAATCATCCGATATCAGATGAATTTCTCGTTTGGGCTGGAACAATGAGCCTCTTTAGTCTCACCGGATGGGTCTTCTTGATTCATTAAAATAAGGATTCAACATACCCTACGCAGATTAAGGTTCGGCAATATATCGGCATCGGATGTTTGTGAGGCCAAAGACTTGGCCGCCAGTGAGCAACTAATGACTGTTTATTTGTTAAACCAAACAGTTTTCTTTCTTTGTTTTTCATGATTATATATACCTACTGACTACTGCTGTTATATATATCATGATCCAGATGCTGGACTGCCACTAGTCATCTACCTGGATGATTGGAAGTTGGTCTAGAGATGTCTCTGGTCGGACAATAATTTGCTCATAATGCTCTCGTGTTAGATCTCTTCCAGGCTCCCGCTCAGTATTACTCTGTCTTCTGATGTAAATTAGTTGCAGGATGGCGGCCAGGGCCTTTATAAGAGACGAATTTCCCTTCCTCCTCTTTCTTTTTTCTTCACTCAAGACCCTTTGAATCAGCAAACTTGGAAGACATATCTCAGAGAATGACTCTTGAGCCGAAAATGTCTCCATCTGACTCTGGCGACGAGAAAATTGTACTGGAGGAAAGCAATTCGACGAAAGGTTTCGACGTCGACGTTACGCCCCGTCTCGACAAATTCGATGCCGAGTTCATCACTCAGAGAATCATTGAGTCCGATGAGCTCGAGTACATTCTTGCTGAAGATGCGAGCTTTATCACCAGCAAGGTCAGCGAAATGGGACTGGACAAGGCTCTTGCAATCCTTGCTAGCTCTGAGAAGTTCTTCCGTGGTGATATGAATTTTCCCCAGAAAGCTATGTCGAAGATTCAGTTGCTTCTTCAAGGCGAGGAAGCGTACGGTCAAGGACCTGATAAATTTGATCTTGACGCTCGTTTGGAAGCGACAATGATCAAGTATCACTCTCCCTACCCGGAGGTACGGTCTGTGTGCAGTCCTGTTGATGATCCTACTATTGTCAGCGAGACGTTTCGAGTTTATCTAATTGCGGGCGTTTGGACTGCGATTTCCTCGTTTGTCAACACGATGATTGCATGGAGACAGCCTCACTTCAGTCTTTCTTCGCAAGTTATCCAGTTGTTCATCGTTCCTACCGCCCAGGCATTTGCATACATTGTTCCGAACTGGAGGATCAAGATCGGGAAATATGGCTTCTATTTGAACCCTGGGCCTTGGACTGTCAAGGAGCAGACATTGGCTACTATTATTGTGAATGCGGGTGCGTCTCAGGGTCTGTTTTTGGGATACGCGCCTATTCTGCAACTTGATCTTTTCTATGGATTATCCTGGATGAGCTACGGATATAACTGCTTGATTTCTTTATCCTGTCAGTTTATGGGTCTTGCTATGGCTGGCCTCATGCGCCGCTGGGTATGTCTATTCTCTTGATATTTGTGCCCCAGTTTCTCTCACTAACGAAATCTTAGGTGCTGTACCCCGTCAAAGCACTTTGGCCTACGATTCTCCCGACTCTACAATTGAACAGGACATTACTGGTCCCAGAGAAGAAGGCAAACATCAACGGATGGACGATGTCAAAGTACAAGTTTTTCAACATCTTGCTGGCAGCCTCGTTTGTGTATTTCTTCATTCCAAACTACCTGTTCACTGCGCTCTCGACATTCAACTGGCCGACGTGGATTGCACCTGACAACAGGAATCTTGCGTTTGTCATGGGATCCAAAATCGGAATGGGATTCAATCCGATTACTACGTTCGATTGGAGTGTGATTAATCTCAATTCGCCCTTGGTTGTTCCGTTTTATACTCTGCTCAATCCTTGGATTGGAACGTTTATTGGAGCGTTTATCATCCTTGGGTTCATCTACAGCAACTACTCCTATACTGGTTACTTGCCGCCCAATCTGGGAACGATCTACGATCGATACAGAACAAAGTATAATACGACCAAGGTTCTGACGGACGGATACTTTGACCTGGAGAAATACAAGGCGTACTCCCCACCATTCATCACCGCTGGATATATGGTGCTGCAGGGAGCAGACTATACTCTGACTACCTTTGGATTTGTGTACATCGTGCTCAGCGAGTGGCAAACTATCAGAGATGCGGCCAAGGACTTTTACAACAGCTTGAGGAAAAGAACTGAGGCTGATAAGAAGATTTTCAAGGACCCGATGGTCGAGATGATGCAGAAATACGACGAGGTTCCTGATCTGTGGTACTTTATCCTTTTCATTCTGTGTGTCGGGGTCGGCGTGATTTGCATCCGCGTCTGGGATACAGAGCTTCCGGTATGGGCGTACTTTGTCGTTCTGGCCATCGTCTTGACGTTGCTTCTTCCTTCGATGATGTTGTATGCTTCGACTGGGTATATGTACTCGATGGCACTGCTGGCGACGCTTTTGGGAGGTTATTTTGCTCCTGGGAGTGGAACAGCTTGTATTTTTACGAGAATTTATGGGTTTGGTATTGATACGCAGACTGAGACGTATGTCGGTGATCAAAAGATGGTAAGTTGAAATAATTTTAGGTAGTTGCTGTGATGGTTGACTGACTGTATGTAGGGCCACTATGCTAAAATTCCACCGCGAGCAGTCTTCCGGGCGCAAGTGTTTGCGACTTTGATCCAGGTCTTTGTTTCATGCGCGGGTTGGGAAGCTCTCAAGAAGATCCCCGATTTATGCAGCGTAACGCAGGCGTCAAAGTTCACTTGCCCTTTTGCGCACACGATGTATTCTCAGAGTATATTGTTTGGAATTATCGGTCCCACGCGTACTTTTGACAAGCTATATCCATTTTTGAAGTGGTGCTTCTTGCTCGGTGCTGGACTGGCTGTGCCGTGCTGGGCATTGAGACAGTATTTTCCCAGACAGTTGCACTACTGGCAGCCTGTTTTGATTTTAGCTGGTATTGCAAGGTACGTTACCTCTTGTCCTTATCACGTCTTTTGTGACGCCGATACTAATGATTCTGTACTATAGATACGGATCGTCATACAACCTCTCGTACTATACACCAGGCTTGATTATGTCATTTATCTTCATGTACTACGTACGCTCCCGATTCCCGATATGGTGGGCAAAGTACAACTACATCATGTCCTCAGGGCTCACTGCCGGCACGGCGTTCAGCGCAATTCTTATCTTCTTTGCTCTGCAGTACCATCCAAAGACTCTGAGCTGGTGGGGTAATAATGTGAGCTCTGCGGGTGTTGATGGCAAGTTGGTTGCGAGTGTCGAGCTGATGCCAGCTGTGGGATATTTCGGGCCTGAAGCGGGAAGTTGGGATTAGGTTGATAATAGGAAAGATAATACTGTTTATGATAAGATAGTGATAATGTTAATGCTGTGATTTCTCATACCATGTGAACGGTCCACCGAGTCGGTTTAAATCGCTCTGATTATGTAGAAATGTGGAAATTTACTGCTGCGGCTCATCATCAGAGATGTGGGGTTGTCCGAAGCCTATTGTACAATACGCAAATAGTGAGCTTTGATTACAAACTATTCTCTTGAGGAGTTGGTAAAGTGTCTAGATTGCTATTATAAAAGATTATCTGGCCATCCAGCCGCCATCGACGGTAACGCATGTACCACTAACATACTCGCTCCCCGCACCAGCCAAGAATACGACCGGCGCTTTGAAATCCTCAGGCTTGCCCCATCTTCCCTGCGGGATACGCTCCATGATCTGTCTTGATCTCGTTTCGTTAGCAATCAAGGCGGAGTTCATCTCAGTCGCGATGTATCCGGGAGCAACAGCGTTGACGTTGATGCCCTTGCCGACCCAGTCGTTTGAGAGAGCTTTGGTCATGCCGAGGATACCGTGTTTTGCGGCGGCGTAGGCGGGCACGGTGAGGCCGCCCTGGAAGGAGACAAGGGAAGCGATGTTGATGATTTTGCATCGAGCGTCCGGGGCGCGTTTGTCCTTTGTCGCAAGAAAGTAAGCACCGACATCGCGAGCAAGGGTCCAGCATGTGGTGAGGTTGACTTGTAGGACCTCGTCCCAGTCCGAGTCCGGGAATTGTTCGGCGGGATGACGGCGCTGTATGCCGCCGCAGTTGACGAGAATGTCAATGTCGAGCGAGAGGTCGGTGGTTATGTGTTTGACGATAGCTTTGACTTCTGTGGGGTTCGAGAGGTCGCATTTGACGGTTGTGCAGGTGGATCCCAGAGCTTCGATGGCCGACTTTGTAGCAGTTGACGAGAGGTCTCTCTATAAATATGTTAGAACTGCAGCAGTGAATATGTAAGAAGAGAGAGGAGCATACGAGAAGAAGGATGATATCAGCACCCGCTTCAGCGAGGCCGATAGCGATGGCAGCGCCGATACCTCGAGAGCCACCGGTGACGAGGGCGGTCTTCCCTTCGAGGGAGAATTGGGCAGCGCAGGCGGCAGAGAACTTTCCCATTGCAAGCGTGAATGAGAGCAGAGGTTAAGTGATGATGTCTGCTATGGAGGAGCCGATCGAGGGAGCAAAAGATGGAGAAGATGATTGAATAAAAGACATCGGGGGAGGTCGGCAAGATGAGGTGTAAACAGACTTCTGAAAGAGGAAAGCGGGAGGGTCGCGGCAGTCGACGGCGGGTTTATGCTCGAGTGTGGGATGCGCAAAAAGACGGGATGGGGAGTGGATTAGGGTTGGTACCCCACACTTCGGGGCCGGGGCAGCAGCATTAAAATACAAAACAGAGTCCGGTTTCGAGTGAGCTTCAGTGAACTTCAGCCTGTACAGCGCTTTCTTGCTCCTTTCTGCATTAAGAACTTGATACAATATGCCTTCGCCTCTTGAGACTGACGAGCGCAAGGGCTTGCCTGCGATCTCGTCTTCTACGTCGGACAAGATCAAGTCGATCGAGACCTTCCGTGTTCCGCCCCGCTGGTTGATGGTCCGCGTCGAGACCGAGAAGGGGATTGTTGGCTGGGGTGAGGCTACGCTGGAAGGTCACGCCGAAGCAGTCGAAGGCGCGTATGAGGATTTCCGTGAGCGGTTTATTGGCTGGGAAGCTGCAAACATTGAGGACATCTACCAGTCTGCCTACCGTCATCGGTTCTACCGTGGCGGTGAGGTGCTGATGTCTGCGATTGCCGGCCTCGACATCGCGCTCTGGGATATCAAGGGTAAGACTCTTGGTGTTCCGGTGTGGCAATTGCTGGGTGGAAAGGTGCGCGACCGGGTTGCGGTGTATGGCTGGATTGGTGGAGACCGCCCGTCGGATGTGCTCGAACAGGCCAAGGTGCGCAAGCAGCAGGGTTTCACTGCCGTGAAGATGAATGCGGTGGAGTCGTTGGGCTGGCTGGCGTCGCCTGATGACTTGAAGGCAACGGTTGAGCGTGTTCGCGATGTTCGTTCGGTTGGAATTGATGTCGGACTCGACTTCCACGGACGCGTGCACAAGACGATGGCCAAGCAGCTTGCGCGGGCTTTGGAGCCCTACTCGCCTTTGTTTATCGAGGAGCCGCTCTTGCCAGGCCACACGGACGAGCTGCAGAAGCTGTATCAGCAGACCACGATCCCGATTGCGCTCGGCGAGCGACTGTTTACTCGACAGATGGTGCGACCGTATCTCGAGACTGGCTCGATCGACATCATCCAGCCGGACATTTCGCACTCGGGTGGCATCTCAGAGACGCACCGGATCGCGACGATGGCGGAGACGTACGATGTCGGAGTCGCGCCTCATTGTCCGCTTGGCCCTGTCGCGTTTGCGGCGTCGATGCAGATTGCTATTTGCACGCCCAACTTTTTGATTTGCGAGATGTCGTGGAAGATGCACTACAACTTGAATTCGGAGTACGACCTGTTCAGCTACATCAAGAACAAGGAGGCTTTTGATGTCAACAATGGGTTCGTTGAGGCACTCACTCTTCCGGGACTCGGAATTGAAATTGACGAGGCGTTGGTGAGAAAAGCGGCGAGTGAGCTGAACGGATTTTCGTGGAGAAATCCGGTGTGGAGAGGACCGGACGGAGGTATTCGGGAGTGGTAGTCGAGTAATAGATTAGTAATGCACGTGATTTTATCTTCTATCTAATCGGTAATGAAACCCTACATCAACTCAGCTCTTTTATAGTGATTAAGTTTATGCCTGTGATAAGCCTTCCTGTTTGTAGTATTTATCAAATCTACAAATTATGGCGATTAAGACTGTCTTTATTGATAACATATAGTCATAGAAATCGATAAGGTGATGATATGAATGAATTAAAAACTAATGCTCTACAAGCTGTTCTCGACCTCGAAAGCCTTCTTGAGTCCTTCGTCGCAGAGGGCGATGACCGAATCAGAAACAGGAGGAAGAGGTGATCGAGTGACACCACCCAAGCCAGGCTTGACGTACTTGTTCAAAGCATACTTTGTGCCAGAGATGCCAGCCTTGACGATAACCCAGTCGGCTTCAGAGACGATGGTCTGAAGAGAAGTGACTTTGACAAACTTCTCAGGAGTAGGAGCGGCAATGTAGTCCTGTGCGGCGTTGAAGAGAGCGACGATCAGCTTGGGGAAGACGTTTCCAGTTCCGGTAATACAGCCGTGCTGGCCGGTAGTCAGGGCAGGGAAGAGATAGTCGCTGAAGCCGGGGAGGACTAGGAACTCCTGCTTGGCGGGGTGACGGGCTTTGTATTCGGAAGTGGAGGTGTGGGCGACGACACGGTGGCCCTTGCCGATGCCGGCGCAGGTGAGCTTGACGCCAAAGCAGTTGGGGTGCTCTGAGAGCTCGATGATTGTGTCTGAGTCCAGGTCAATTCCAGCGGCGGCGCCGGGGAAGTTGTAGATCATGACGGGAATAGGAGACTTGTCAAAGCACTCGGTGAAGAAGGCCTTGAGGGCGGCCTTGTTTGAGCCCATGGCAAAGGCGTAGTAGCCCGGGTGAATGACAATGGCGGCGTCAGCACCCGCGGCCGCGGCCTTGGTAGTGAGGGCGACGGTCTCACGCGCAGAGCCGGTACCGGTGCCGACGAGGATGGGGACCTGCGTGAAGCCGGCGCTGTCGAGGGTCTTGCGGCCGACGGCGACCATTTCGACGCGCTCTTCGTTGGAGAGATGGGCCGCCTCGCCGTTTGTGCCGTGAAGAACAAGGCCCATGCCCGCGGCAGCGAGACGGAGGACTTGGGCTTTGTAAGCCTCAAAGTCGACGTCGTAGGACCCCTCCTTGAAGGGAGTGACGAGCGGGCAGTAGACTCCAGATGAGAAGGTGCGGCCGGTCATTGTAGATGATGTTGATTGTTGCTGGTATCTGTGGCGAAGCAGAGAAGAGGAGAAGAAGAGCGACGAGGATCAAACAGGAAACAGAAGCAGAAAGCAGGAAACAGAAAAAGTCGGAAGCTGCTCGCTTTTGTAACTGCTCGTTCCGCCGTCGACTGCCGCCCTCCCCGCAGACTTGTCTGGTTACGTAACCCACCTCAAACCCCGCCCCCACACCTCCCGTTCGCCCCACGCGATCTCTGCTCGGGATATTCTCCGAGCCGCACCCCAGCCCCCCACCCCACCCACGTGACCGCGGCTTCTTGCTCGCCGCGGACTTGTCGGTTGCATCGACTCTTTCTGCTTCCCGCTGCCGTGTTTATAATAGACAGAGTCAGAGTCCATTTGCATCTTCTTTGCTTCTTGTTGTTGTTATTGTCATTGTCAATATTGCATTTGCTGCTGGTGAAGCAGTTATTCACATCGCGCCAAAATGTCCTCCATCTCAGCCTCTGTGCTCGTCGGTCCGAAAGAGCTCATCCTCGTAAGATTACCATCTACACCTCTGCTGCTTCCTTCATTCATTGACTCTTACTTGCTAGGAAACCCGCACACTCCCAGACCCTCTTCCAAATGAATGCCAGGTCGCCGTCCGCGCGACTACCCTCTGTGGCTCTGACCTCCACTACTACAACCACTTTGCCAACGGCGACTTCAAGGTCCGTGAATCGCTCTCTCTCGGCCACGAGTCCGCGGGCGAGGTCGTCGCCGTCGGTTCCGCTGTTACCGATCTCAAAGTAGGTGACCGTGTAGCGCTCGAGGTTGGCATCTCTTGTCTCGAATGCGACATGTGCCGCCGCGGAAAATACAATCTCTGCCAGAGAATGCAGTTCAGGTCCTCGGCCAAGTCGTTCCCTCACTTCCAGGGAACCCTGCAGGAGCGCATCAACCACCCTGCCTCTCTCTGCCACAAAATTCCCTCTTCGATCTCCTACGACGCTGCTGCTCTGATCGAGCCTTTGTCCGTCGCTATTCACGCATCCCGCCGCTCCGGAGTTAACCCGGGTGACAAAGTGCTCGTGTTTGGTGCCGGCGCCGTCGGTCTCTTCTGCGCTGCCATGGCCGCTGTCTCTGGTGCGTCCACAATCGCAATTGCAGACATCTCCCCCGGACGAGTCGACTTTGCCGTCAAGAACGGCTTCGCCACGCATGGTTACGTTGTCCCTCTCGGCCCTCGCCCGACTACCACCGAAGACAAACTGAAATCGGCACGTGTCACAGCCGACGCGATCACAAGCATCAAGATGTCTGAAGACGAAGACGAAACCCTCGAGTCGTTCGACGTCGCTTTCGAGTGCACCGGCGTCGAGAGCTGTATCCAGGCCTCGATCTACGCTGCCAAAGCGGGCGGCAAGGTTATGTTTGTCGGCATGGGCTCACCCGTGCAAACCCTACACGTCGGCGCTGCCATGACCCGCGAAGTGGACTTGCTCGGAGTGTTTAGATACGCAAACGTCTACCCGACTGCAATCGCCCTTCTGCGCCAGGGTAAGATCCCGGCGTTTGAGAGCTTAGTCACGCATAAATTCTCGGGCTTGCAGAACGCGGCTGCTGCTTTCGAGGTTGCGGGGAAGACGTCGGATGAGAATGGAAACTTGGTCATCAAAACTGTCATTAATACCTAATTGTCATCTGTTTATTTACTCTTATCTTAGTTAGCATAGAACTTAGTGTCTCAATACTACATTTCATCTTTATGTCTTTTTACTCTATAATATGCCCGACTTTTATCCCATGATCTGTCTTCGTCACTCTTTCATAAGCTCTCTTCAAAATATTCCAAACAACGTCTATTGACCATTCATGATTATTATCTAATACTACTTCCAATGCGCAGGATGCCAGTCAGTCCAATCATCAAACTTCAGATCAACTCCCCATTTTGGCTTCGACGTTCGTCTGATCCCCTCCGTCTCCGCAACCTTATCAAGCGTCGCGAGGTCTTCTTCACTCAACTCGACCAAATCATTGCTGTTGGCCGTCGCCCGTGCAGGATTCACCGTCTTGGCGAGTACAACTTTCCCGCCGCTGATATGATACGAAAGCAAGATACCGCCTGGCGAGGTCTTGTACTTCTCTGCGATCTTCTGCACAGTAGGGAGTTTCAGCAACGGACCTCCCGATGATCCCAATGGTGAAAACGCCTCGCAAATAATTCCTTTCTCCTTGCAGTATTTGACGAGCTCGAGCTGCGGCAATTGCGGATGAAGTTCAACCTGGTTCACTGCCGGTACAATCTCTGCCTCCTTCAAAAGCTCTTCAAGATACGGAATTGAACAATTGCAAACGCCAATTGCCTGGACCTTCTTTGTGGTCTTGTAGATCGTCTCCAAGTCCTTCCACATCTTGATGTACGACCCATTCGGATCCACGTCTCGGCCTCCATCCGGAGTAGTCGGCGCGATAGGATGGTTTCCGTGTGGATTGAGCGCAATAGGCCAGTGAATCAGCAGCATATCGACGTACTCCAGTCCCAGATTCTTCAAGCTCACGTCAAGCGCCTCGCTGATCCGGTCGTGCCATGTACTCCACACTTTTGTCGTCACAAAGATCTCCTCCCGCGTCACCTTGCCGCTCTTGATCGCCGCCGCTATTCCTCGCCCGACCTCTTCTTCGTTGCCGTACGCAAACGCGCAGTCAATGTGTCGGTAGCCTGCAGTCGTGAGCGCGTACTCGACTATCTTTGCGACCTCGCCCGGACCCGCTTGCCAGGTGCCGAGCGCGAGAGCGGGGATCTTCTTTCCATTGTTGAGCGTGAATACCGTGTCTTTAACTGCCATTTCTCAAATCCTAGCTCTCGTCTAGACCGCAGCTGTCAGCAGTTTAGGGCACGACGCGTGTATATATAATGTCACTCCTTTACAGCTAAGAACCGCGGCGACCGGGACCCAAGTAGCCGTCTTCCTAATCAGGAATAACGTAAACACCGTCCACTGCCGTCCTGCTTATCAGATGAGGGGTCGAGGAGACGTAAAATAGGATTAGGAAATTGCCGAGAAACACGTCAAAGTCAAAGTTTACTTGGAACACGCTACAACAAATGCAAGTCTTTACAGTTACCATCAAATACAATACTGTAAACATCACAGACTTATAGATATAACCAAATGTAGATAGAACAATCATTCAACATAATTTACACGCCCCGAAAATTAACCGAACTTCCCTGATCGAAATATGACATCCAAATCTCTGAATCAATGTCAAACGAAAGCAGCGACGTCAGATCTGCGCCTCCATCCGATCCTTCTGACCCAGCAGTGATGTAATCAAACGACAATAAATCCATCAGATTGTTTCCCATCCCGTCATCCTGCTCCTGCAAAACTCCGCTGTTTATCGTATCATTGTTGTTGCTCGTCATCTTGCTGTTGTTTTCTCCCTGTCCCTCGCCCTCCATCTGACTTGTCATCGACTGTGCCATCTCCCCGCCTGCAACCACTTCGTTGTTATTCGGCGAGCTCGCACCACCTGCTGCTGAAGACGTCAGCGCAGAAGTGACCGCAGCCGTTGTCATAGCCGTCGTCGATGATGACCCGAGCGATGAGCCTTCATAGCTATTCTGCAGCTGGTGAAGTAACTGCTGCGGCTGCATGAGATCCAGATACTGCTGCTGTTGTTGCTCATCCTCGAGTTGATTCCGGCGCTGCTGCTGCATCTGCATCTCAAACTGTCTCTTGGATTGCTGCTGATGCTCTGAATACTGCTGATACGCTGTTGGCGATACCGGAGTAGTCATCGACGCTGGAGTCTGGGCGATAAAGTTCAGCGCAGCACTAGCCGCAATATCTGCATTCACCCCGTTGCTAGCGTTGCCCATCCCAGCGTTTCGACCGCCACCGCTACTCAGACCTAGTATCCCAATACTAGCGTTGGCGTGTCCATCAAGAGTCGAAGGCGATGCTGATCCTGTCAGAATAGATTGGACCTGTGCTTGTTGTTGTGCGTGCTGATTCTGCTGCTGAGACGTATTCTGTGTGGAGATAACGTGTCTAGAATGTCTTCGTCCTGTCGGGGTATTGCTCGCGTTCGTACTGGCCGCAGTAGCTGGCGCAGTGGCAGACGGCACAGGCGTCATATTCTCAGCCGTCCAGAGTGTCTTCACAAGCATCCGCAGCTGCCCTATCCTTCGAACTAAAGGGTGCGCGCGGTCCACAGATCCCGCCAGATCGACAAACGCGCCAATAGTGCGCTTAACGAGCTCCAGTATGACCTGCTGCTCTTTAGGCACAACAGCACCGGTGAATATAATCTTGATCAAAAACACAACCGCATATGAGATGTACCCGTAGTATCGCCATGGAAGGTATGCAAGGGCTCCTCCAGCGTGCAATTTATCAATCGACAGAATCAAAAGATCCATAGCAGCCTTCTTGCTCTCAATAATGAATTTGGCATCCGGGCTTCCAATCAGCCCACGCGGAAAGACAATATTAGCAAGTGATGGCCGCTCCGAAGCAGGGACGTTGAGCGCACTCTTGTACTTATTTGTCTTGCGCCGTAGATGCGACTGAAAGGCAAATCCATACGCGTACAGCTTTGCGTAGTGATATGTTATCCACACCGTCTCGTTTAATGGAAATGTCTCCCAGCTCTTGGCTTGCCATGCCAGTCTGAACGCAGCGAACGAGCGCGTGTACTCGTCCAGGATGCGGTAGTATTCTCCCACAAGCACAAGCGCAATAGTGCGGTCACGCGATGGATACAGAGTGTCGTGAATGTTTGTCAGGATCTGGGTCAATTCCAAATGAGCCTGGACATGTGACGAATAATCTTCCCGATTACCGTTTGACAGTGCAAGAGTCGGAAAGTTGAGGGAAGAGTCGCTGATGATCGACGCACCAGCATCCGGGTTCTGGAAGCACAGTCCTGGTCCTCGAGACCAAAACGCTTTGCCAAGTCGGATTGATGCCTGTCGATCGTGGAAGTAGCAATAAGTCCACGCCAGTCTCTCGCGATGAGTTTCATTGTCCATATGGTCATGCAGTCCAATCAGAGTCTTTTGATCAAAACCCAGATAGTAACTCAGTCGGATTGCGAGTCCAATCAGATTCCATGTCATCCGCTCCTCATAGTAGCTCAGTTTGTGTGTCTCGACATTGGCCAGCCTTGGAATGTTCTCAGATAGCAAGAGCAGAGACTCTACCGCGCCGACGGTGGGCTCAACTCCAAACATGAGCTCGGATATCAGATGCTGCATGTATCCCCAGCACAGGTCGTGTACGATGTGATTTTCGTAACGGGAAGCAATGATGACCATGGCAGTCAGCAGAAATGGCTCATTGGCAACGAATTCGCTCAGAAGCTCATCAGTCAGAGGAGCTTTGGTTGCAGGTACAAGAGGTAGATAGTGATGGTGCCGACTGAAGAATATGGAGACAAAGGTGCGTAGCTGGGTGGGATTGATGTAGCCGCGCTTGATGAGTTGGAAATCAAGTATTCGTTCCTGATGCCGCTTTGGCCTCACCGACGACCGACGCGCATGCTCATTTGAGGCAGCCACCGCTGCGCGTTCGGCGGCTTCGTGAATCGATCGGCGACGCTTCTTGAGAGAGTCGTCATCAGCCGGTTTTGTTGGCGAGAACTTCTCTTCGAGTACACGAGCAACTTCCTCAGCATCCACCTCGCAATCCGGTCCTGCAGAACTGGAGGGTTGACGTTGCTGATGTTGATGCGAATGCTGATGATGCTGAAATTGAGATTGTGACTGAGATTGCTGTGGTTGTGGGGTCTGGTGTGACTTTAGAGGAGTTCCGGAGTCTGATTGACGACGACTGCCGGACTCTGCAGGCGACTGGAAAGTGATGCCGGAGTCGCGAGTATTGTTGTCGTTGTTGTTTCGACCAGACAGCGAGGAATTGAGACTGGATTGGTTCGCGTTTATGTTGCCGCCGATACTGCTATTGCCGTTTCTATTGTTGTTGTTGCTGTTATTGTTGTTGATGCTAGAGCTTGCTTTGTTCAGAGAGGAGTTGTCGGCTTGACTGCTGTTGTTGTCATTGTCATGATTGATTTCGTGATTGTCGACCGTATTATCGGTCGCAGCGGTGGCGGAAATGGAGGAAGACTTTTTGATGGCGGAGACGTTGGTTGCGCTACCATCAGCTTCTGCAGTAGAAGCGACTGTGTTCGCGGCAGGGGTTTGAGGATCGTCGTCGGGGACGGCATATGATGATGTTCGAGCAAGAATGTCGAGGGCGTCAGCGGGATTGCGAAGAAAAGCAAACGCCAGGGTTTCAGCATTGACGGGATCTTTTTTCTTGTCTTGACCCGCGTTTGCGCTGCTAGAGGACATTTTGCGAGGACGTTTGGCAGGAGGAGGAGGGATGAGGCCTTCGTCGCCGTCGTCGTCGTCGTCGTCATCATCGTCGTCGTCGTCATCGTCATCCTCTCCGTTGTCATCGTCACCGGCATTTGCGCCACTCCCAATATCACCTGGGCTTGAGCGAACAGGCGAGATGCCAATGTCTAGTTTGGAGTCAATCATCGGAGATAGCTGTAGCTGTAATTGTTGATGTTGTTCATGATTGGGCGCTTGATCTGACTGATTTTGCTGTTGATTCTGCTGATGCTGCTCTTGTTGAATGCCTGCTGCTGCTGCCGCAAGAGATTGCAGTCGCTCGAGACGTCGGGCGCGACCCAGCTCGACGTTTGTGCGCCCACCACGGCGCGAGGGTAGGAACGTGCAGTCTTTGCCTTCGCGTTCGCACCTCATGCAAGGTGGTTTGATGATGTTGTTTGGGAAGATGCATTTTGCCTGATCAAGCACAAAACAAAAACAAGAGCATTGATTAGCAAAGGGTCGAGAGTGAGAACGCAGTAAGAGAGTAGGTACCTTTCTCAAGCGGCAGTTCTTGCATGCTTGGTATGCTCTGCGTTGCTTTTCAAGCTTCACCGGTTTTTGCTTGGGTTCCTGCTGCTGCTGCTGCAATTGATGTTGTTGCTGTGGCTGTTGTTGTTGCTGCTGCTGCTGCTGCTGCTGCTGCTGATAATCCATGGTAGCAGATGGCTGGCAGCAGTGCACATGGTCTTCTGGCTGAATCACGGAGGAGGAGGAGAAACAAGTGGAGGAGCGAGGAGGAGCAAAGAAAATTAGAGTTGCGGGGCTGCGGCGCCTCGAGCCCATCCCGCCCCTGCAGCCTACTGAGTGTGTAACCCTCTGCCCTAGATGCGGGGATGATTATGTCAGCGTGGCTGTTGCCGTCGACTGCCGAAGAAGATCTCAGTTGGGAGAACGAGGCAGCATAAAGCCATTCTCGTTGTTCTCACGACTGTTTGTTTTCTTTTCTTGGACAGTACTTAAACACCTCAGAGCGCTCGGTCTCTGCTGTTGTCAGACATCCCTGCCTTCTATCGACTCAATTGCTCTCTGTCGTCTTACTTGTTCATCATGAAAATCGAAGGAAACACTTTCGTAAGCTTCTTCCTGCTCCCGGTTTCTTTCTCGAGCGCTATCTCTACGCGCTCTCTCCCGGCTATCTCTCCTCGCTAACAACAATTCTCTACAGATCATCACCGGCGGTCTCGGAGGCATTGGCAGTGCTGTCGCCAAGGGATTCCTTGCAAAGGGCGGCAAAGCTGCTTTGTTCGACGTCATTCCAGAGGAGAAGGGAGTTGAACTTGCGGCAAAGATCCATCCTACCGACGTGCTCTACGTTAAGGTCGACATCGCAAACCAGGAGTCGGCCACCGCCGGTGTTGCGACTGTTGTCGAGAAGCTTGGAAGCCTCAAGGGCGTTGTTCACTGTGCTGCCATCTCAGCTAAGCGACCGTGGTCGAACGACGTCTCCGATTCGATCCCAGACTTCATCAAGATGATCAACGTCAACACTGTCGGTACTTTTATCGTCGACGCAGTGGTCGCCGATGCTATCAACAAGCCCTACAACCACCCTCCCGGAGCTGCCTCTGACTCGGCTTCCACCTTCTGGACGACGGAGGAGGAGCGCGGCGTCATCATCAACTTCGCCTCGGCCGCCGGACACGGCCTCTACGCTCGCACTCTTTGCTACGGTCCCACCAAGGTTGCCGTTGCCGGAATCACGCGCGCGATGGCCGACTTCCTCGGCCCCTCTGGCATTCGCGTCAACTCGATCTCGCCCTCGATTGTCGTCACGCCGATGACCGCTGGCGCTGGGCTCGGCACCTACTTTGAGGAAGACCTCAAAGCACATGCGGCGTTTCCACGACGACCGGTTCCTGTCGACGAGATTGTTCGAACTGTCGAGTTCATCGTCGAGAACGGATACATCAACGGCGAAGACATCAGAGTAGACTCTGCCTGGCGTCTTGTGACCAACCGCGCTTCGGGTCTGCCCGATCCCCGGTCTGTCGCGCCTGGTCTGGAGTAAACGCGTCTCTGCCTGTCAACCAATCAATTATGTCCTGAGTCGGGCAAGAAGTAAACACGCTAAAAGAGCAACTAGATATGAAAGATAATTTATTTCCATTAGTCATTCATTATCTAATATATCAAATAATATGCCATCCAATAAAGTTAACTCCGTTAATCATGAATTATTTCCCCGCATTTTCTCGTTCTTACTCTCCTCCTCACCTGCACGCTTCACCACTTCTGCCTGCCAAAACATGCAGTTCGGCTACTCGTCCACGGTCCAGAAACCGAGGTCCGCAATAAAGCGGCCACGGAAATCTACAATCTGCAAGACCTGCGCTACCCGCCGCGTTAAATGTGACAGAGAAAAGCCTTGCGGTAACTGCAAGCTCCGGGGCCATCTCTGCGTCTATCCCTTCGAGACTGCACCGGCCGCCTCATCATCATCCGCTGACGGCCCTTCCACCGCCGCTGGCGCTGCTGCTCCTGACATCTCCGCATCGTCCGCTCCATCAATCGATCCGACAATCGGCTCCTCCTCTTTACCTTCTGCTGTCGATGCTGATGTCGATATCTCGAGCTCGGCCCCACAGCAGCCGAGTTCCACCTTCTGGCCCCCCTTCTTCAACGATGTACTGCTCTCTCTCTCTTTTTTTTTTTCTGCTGGCTTTTTATCTTCTCATGTTTTAAACAGCAACCGGGTTACTAACCTCTTTGTCTTTCACTAGAACAATATTGACCCGATCGACAGCGTGACAGCCGCCTTTGCCGTCGCCGATCTCGATCCTACCGCAGCCCGCCTACAGCGTGCGCGCCTGATCTCGCAAAATCTGCCGCCGAGATCAGAATGCGACTCGCTCGTCACGGACTTCTTCGACTGGGTCTACCCCATCTGCGCTCTGATGTCCCGAACTCGTCTCTGGGAAATTTACCACGAATTCTGGACTTCCGGTGATACTGACAACTCGAGTAATTTCATCATCATCTTCGCTATTCTATACGGTGCCTCTGTATCGCGCAACAGCAAGCTCAAATTCAGCGCCGCCCGACACGGAAAAATTCTACCGGATGACCCTTGCAGAGTACAAGTCGCTCGGTTCCAGGCGGCAACTGAGTCTGCGCTTCGCATCGTGGACTTTCAAGCGCGGCCGACGCTCATGGGTCTGGTCGCTGCCACAATGTTCCAGATTTGCCGTCGCAGTCAGACCGTGGCCGACGCGTCGGCCTCAGTCTCGACCTTACTTCGTATCGCGCAAACAATGGGTCTGCACCGCGATCCTTCAATGTTCAGGTCCAACCGGATCTCGGTCGAGGACGCTGAACTAAGACGGCGCGTGTGGTGGCATTTGGTCTATCTTGACGGCGTACTCTCAACCGGCAACGGCCTGCCGGTATCGGTCCAAAGATCCGCCTACGACGTCGTCTTCGTGTCTTACGACAGCGACAACATGCTTGACGAAGACAAGCTTTTAATCATGCTTGGAAACTGTCTCGCATATAACAGTCATGTACTTGCTCCTCAGTTTGCTGATATCTTGGGTGCTCGCGGATTTACCTTCGAAGCGATTAAGACTCTCGGCACCTCTCTCATGTCCGTCAAGGCCTTCTACGCCGACACTATCCGAAAAATTAATGCGCTCACGTTCGACACTCATTCGCCCTACATCATCCCGGAAAAACTGTTTCATCTCCGTGAGCTCTGTATTACGATTATGTCACTTTCTTGTGAAAAGGGATTTCTCATTGCCTACCACGTGAATTTCGAGCTGAGGCGTCGCAAGCTAGGGGCCTTCGGTCTAGATTCTGGCGATTATACTCTGCCGCTTCTTGATACAGAGCCTGACGCTAATGAGCTACATCGGCGGGAGCACTTCGGGCGTGTCGCACTTCGGTCGATGAAGCTCTACCTCAGACTGATTAAAGATCCCTTCAGATCGTGTTACTCATGGTATCTTGCCTCTCTGCCGCAGTTTCATGCTATGATTGTCGTGCTGCGGGATATTTGCGCTGCACCCGCTCGTGGGTTGGTGGTGCCAGAAGAGAGCTTGCTTATCGACGCTAATGGTCAGTCACTCACAGAACCGTCGCCGGACAATATGAATATGCGGGGAAAAGTGACCGATGACGAGAGATTGGCCGTGGTGGAGGAAATAAGACAGGTAACGGAGTTCCAGCGGCTTCACGAGGCCTCACCGTATATAAGGGTGCAGTGGGTGAAAACACTGCGATTGTTAGAAGTCGCTCGTCAGGCCAAGTTCCTCGCTGTGCAAACCTCTCCTAAATTGACGTCCGTCGATGGGGTATCGCCTTCTGTACCTTCTATGGGAAATCCCCAGACTGGCGATGTTTCAGCAGTATCGCCGGCGTCGACCGCGATGTCGTCGAATGAGCCGAGTACTCTTTCGATCGATGGTGCTCCATCCGGCAGCAGTTTTGTGCCCCAGGCAGTGCACGCGACCCTCAGTGATGCCGATATCAGTTCGCTGCTGCTTTTGAATACTGAGAAAGGGCTCGCGTCTTTTCTCGGAAATCTAGCCGATGATAAGCAGATGGCGGATTCGGGCGCTGTATTCCCTGATTCTGGCGGCAGTGGGCAAAACTATACAACCACGGCGCAAATAGATCCCAGTCCGTTGTTTAACCCTATGGTTTACCACAACAGCAACTTACCAAATCCTTTCAACGCTGCAGCTGAGACCGTGACCGGTGGCGTTGAAAGAGGAATGGCGATGGCGGGAGGGGCAGCACTAGGAACGGCAGAAACAGGAGCGGCGGGTGAAGGAGGACCGACCAATCAACAGCACTGGGTGCCTTCCGGATTTGACATTGACTGGTCACTTTACTCTCATCCAACATCGTGATTCGTCATAACTGCCTTGCAAATTTTAATTTTTGTGTATTTTTATTGGTTAACGGTTCGGAGTCATTGAAATTATTGTGAGTTAACTAATTTGGGTGTTTGTGTATCATATGTATGTGTATATTATTAGTTATTATCTTGAAAGCAATCATCATAACGCCTGACTCAGAAAAAAAGGAAGAAATGGTGTAAATCAGTGAGACTTGAGGGTAGATATTGAAGCCGTCTTCTCGTTCAAGAGTTCCTGGCCACGAATCATCATCGCGTCGAGGATTCCGTTGTCTTTCAACATTGTGTAAAACTCATGATCGCCCATACCTTCTCTATACAGGTAGTGGTGATCAAGACCTTCCTCCTCCTCAACATCCTCACTCCTGAACTTCATACCGGGAATAATGTTTATAACATGAAAGAGAATCATGGAGACGACAAATGTGTAGCCCGAGATTGCACAGACCTCTGCGATCTGATAGCCCAGCTGGACGTAATTCTCGTCGACCCAGCCCGAAGACACTGAAGAGCCGTCAAGCTCGGAGACCCAGCTTGCGGCAAACAAGCCGGTCATGATCGCGCCTGCAATTCCACCGATTGCGTGGTTCTGAAACACCATGAGGCCATCGTCAATTCGGAGGAGTCGGCTGGTGAAGTCTGCTGATAGGCGAACGATAATGGCGGCGACGAAGCCAATCACAGCGGCGAAGTAGATAGGAACGTAACCTGCGGCAGGGGTGATAGCGACTAGGCCCACCATCACGCCTCTGCAAGAGCCAGCAACGCTGAATTTACCCTTGTAGGCAAAATAGTCGACGAGGTTCCATCCCAGAATGCCGGTCGCGGCGGAGAGGTTTGTGTTGGCGAGGGCGTAGCCCGCACGAACAGTTGCGTTGAGGGTCGAGCCTCCGTTGAAGCCGAACCAGCCGAACCAGATGAAGATGGTACCAATGTAGATCATGAGCGGAGAGTTTGCGGGAGAGCTTTGAAACCTGGGCCCCAAAATTCGCTGGCGAATACTCCGGTTATTGCTGCTGGTACTATCCTCGGTCAGAGCGCGGCTTTTGCTGCGTCCAAGGCCACAAGCAAGTGCGAGAGACCCAAATCCCGAGGCGATATGAACGGGACCACCGCCAGCAAAGTCAAGAGCACCGAGAGTATAGAGCCAGCCGTTCGAGTTCCAGGTCCAGCAGGCAACAGGGCAATAGACGATAGTCGTCCAGCAGAAACAGAAAACCATGGATGGCAGGAAACGACAGCGCTCGAAGCCGCCACCAATCATGATGACGATGGTCTCGACGGCAAACATGCACTGAAAGAAGCAGTATGTGATTTCAGGGATGTATCCCACAGGAGCAGCGACGACGTTTTTCAGGCCAAAGTTGCTGAGGGTGCCGATGAAGGGGGACGCGTCAGAGGCGTAGGTAAGAGAGTAGCCCCAGAAGAACCACTGAAAGGGTATTAAGCCAAGAATGGCCATCGACTGCCATAGAATGGACATTGCAGACTTTCGCCTGGCCTCGCCGGCGTAGAAAAGGCCGATGCCGGGGATAATGGGCATGATCAACGCTGAAGAGAGAAGTCAGTGATGTTGTCGATGAGGAGAGAAGCCATGCTTTTTGGAACTTCTTACCTGCCGATATCATGATCCAGACCTGGTGGCCCACACTATCGGAAAAGGGAACATTGACATCCATGAGCCGGGAGTCACCACCGGCCGCAGTCCATTCTGCGGATGTGTCGTTGAAAATATCGGACGGATATGTGCTCATGAGGGAGATAGTGGATGGGCAGGAAGCGACCAAAGGACGGAGAGAGCAAGGGGGACGATATCTCGAGGAAATCTATGTGTATGTACTCGGGAATTTCGCGAAAACGAGAGAGGGAAGAAGAGGGGGGAATAAAAGAGTGAAAAAGAGCACGCCGAGGGAGGAAAGCTGAGAATCAAGAAAGCAATTGGGCTTAATTTGGTGTTTCGCGGTACCCGGGCAAACGTGCACGGGCGTAGGCGATAGCCGTAGCGTAGGCCGCGGGTACCTCCCAACCCTATCGAGCTTGCTGTCCGGCCACTTCTTGGGCTCCAAGATACTTGGATATAAAAGACATATCAGCTTAGTAGTATTAAGATCAATGTGTAGCTACTACTAGTGATCAATAGAGTAGGCCTGGAGCAGAGACCGAGAGAGGACAAGAAAGATGAGACGGGTACGGGTGCGCAGATTTTTGAATCCGGTACTAGCGCAGTCGGCGCAGTCAAATGAGCCGCACGAATAGGCACCAGCCACACTCCTAACGCGTGCAGCTGCGGGGCATCCAGTTGCCAAAAGCTGATGATAATCTCGACGCCGGTGAAGTCTGGCAATCTAGGACTGGCAGCACCGGCGAAAGACTGATTGATAATGCTGTAGAGCGGTGCGTTTGTTGCTTTGTAGAGATACTGTATAGCTCTTCTTTGCCATATCGTGGATTACTCCTCCGTCGAGAAGATGCTGGCGGGACCGGCAGAGTTCCTATATGGGACATGAGCAAATCACGTCACCGCGTCGGGAGCTAGTCTTATCAGCGCTAGTTTAAAAGACCAGGAAAAAGAGGCGGTAGTCTATGCACCAATAACACGAGGTCTAGAGGAAGAAACCTGGTTGGTGTATCTCGTCGTTCGTTATAGAAATCAGCTGAGAGCAGTCGAGGCCAGCTGCAATTTCTCTATTGCTCTTGATAAGGTCTTCTATTAAAAAAAGGAGAGAAAGTCTTCGCTGTCATTGGTTATTTGAAGCATGACTGAAGCTGCTGAGGGATGAGGGATTGAGGGCAGATGGAGGATGTTGAAGAGATCGGAGGAACTTACGTACTTTGCTTTTTTGTCCAGTAAGGTTTTTCTTTTTACAATTCTGTGCGCAAGCTTCTCCTCATTACTGCATGGTCTGCTCTCAAAAAGAGAAAGAGAATAGACAGTGAAGAAGAAGGGTTCACGAGAGATCAGTATAGCGGGGCTAGCATGAGACAAGCACTCAACGATCCCACAGAAGCGGACTTCGATTAAACACTCGTCAAGAAGCATAATAAGATTAAAAGAAAACACTGCCGAACAGAGATTGAATAGAAAGACTGGTTTGTATTGTAAAGAGAGAAATCTGACAAGACATGCGGACCCTGCGGCGTTTTCTTGTTTGCGTTTGTGGCCAATCAGAAAACTGCGGTCGCGCGACTGCAGCGCGATTCGGCGCTCGCCTGCTCGCTTTGCTCTGAGATGTCTAGCGGTTTAAGAATAGAACGTACATTGCTCTATTCTGATCTTGGTTTTCGCAGAATCAGCGATTCATCTCGATATTCACAAAGAACTGGTATTGCTAGGAAAATCCGTAGAAGATCCTGCAAAGGTGGATGAACGTGGCAAATGGTGAGGAAAGGGATAACGTGCCGGCTCCACTTTTCTTATCTCCACCGCCCCCGACGCCGAGCTCTGCGATATTCTCATGTCCCCTTCAGTCTCTGTCAAGCTGGCTTATTTATTTCTCCATATTCACATGTTTTGTCATTAGTTTATAAAGATCTCTTTTGCTGGATGCCCAAAGCAAGATCTGTTTGAATTATTATCCTCTGCTTCCTTTGAGCTGTAAACGTTCGTGGAAATCCTTCCAGGCATGATCTCGTCTCGCAGTACCGCAAAGACTCAACATGCACAGACCGCACTAGCGTCGCAAATCGATCTTTCTGGTCTAATTGCGCTTCCTCTTCTGACTAGTATGACTAGTTGGCAGTATGTACAGCGGCATCAAAAATTATGAATTTGATAAGTTATCTGGATGATAGCGACTGCGCCACAGGTCCGCAGCTGCTCGCTGACTAACGATTGCACCTTACGGTCTGGCAGCTTTGGGGCAAGGGCTCTGCGCCTTCTGCTGGCCGCCGGCTATCTCGTCCTCTGATAGTCACAAGTTCTCAGTCATCGCGGGCCGTTCCTTCTATCACCGGCAGACAGCGATGGGTTGCCTGCTTTAGTAGCTGTCTATATTTAGGGATTCGGGGTCGATTCCTGCACTATTATACTCTGTCCGTCTTTGTCGCTTCCGTCGAACAATGTGGGGTCGGACTATAGATCTTCCATCGGATGGACGGCCCCTGTCTATTATCTTCTCGCCAATCAGCGGCCGCCAGTCGCGTCGTTCGGGCGCATCTTTTTCAATATCTCTAACCCTGATATCGCTTACCTCTTCGCTAAGGTAAGCACTGGTCTACGCCGTCGTCTCTGGTCCTAATAATTCATTTCATTTTACATATTCGATACATTCAATGCATATATTACATCCTCTGGACCACAATCGCACTTGCTCCTCCACTGCCATCGCAGACCGAGGCGACACCGTACTCTCCTTCTTTCAAAGAGTACAAGAGCGTTACCAGCATTCTGCATCCGCTCGCCCCGAAAGTATGACCCATCGCAAGATCTCCTCCTTTTGCATTAACCATAGCCAAATCCAGACCAAGCAGCTTACTGTTTACGAGCGGTACGACCGCTGAGGATCCACTTATCTCGAACTTTGTAATATCGGTAATACTGCGTCCCGCCTTCCTCAGAGCAGTAGGTATACAAAGCGAAGGCGCAATCAATGCATCTGCAACACTAGTCGCGACCTCAGCGTACGACACAATCCTGCCCAAAGGCCGGATGAGGTCGTCTGCCTCGTCATCAAGTCGCGATTCTGCTACAAGAACAACGGCTGCCGCGCCATCTCCACTCGAATTCAAGCTCTTTGCCTGTTCAGCCTGCTCATGAATCAGCTCGTCTCTCTCAATCATGATCTTTGCTTCGGAGCTGCTTGTCGTGATTGCCACAGGAGCAATCTCAAACTTGAAAAGTCCGGATTCTAGTGCTGATTTTGCTCGCCTATAAGATTCGGTCTCGTAGCTGCTCAGCTTGCTTTGGGAAATCTCATGTTTCTTGGCTGTTTCTTCGGCAATAAAGTTCATCCTAGAAAAAGTAGATACTCATGTCAGTAACAAAAAACATCATCTCTCAAACACGGAAATTGATACACCATACCCCCAAACCCCATCCGAGCTATCGTCCAAAGATGAGAGTGACCGACTTGTACTCTCCATTCCGGCTGCAACCATCACGTTCGCCGCACCAGACTGAATATTCCGCGCAGCAAGTATCACAGCTTTCATACCTGATGCGCTCTGCTTATTTATTGTAGTCACGTCTGTCGAGCTCGGAAATCCAGCACCAAGCACAACTTCTTTACCTAACATTTCGTTCGTTTTCTGGAAAGCTTTGCCGAAATAGATTTCTGGGACCTCGGACAGATCGCGAAGACCAGATTTGTATACTGCGGCTTTGATCGCTGCGACACCGAGGTCTCCGGCTGACGTTTCTTTGAAAGCACCTTGATACTATTGTTTTCTTTGTAAGCCCATGTGACGATTGTAGAAGAGAAAATGTATAAAATAAGACGTACTTTCCCCACAGCTGTCCGAGCAGCAGACACAATATATACATCGTCGCCTTCCCGTCTCAGCCGCGACGACGACCGAAATCCTCGCATGCTAAACACTTGACTGCCCGCCCATAATCGTCCTCCTCCACTTCCTGCTCCTCGACATGTGCTGCGGAGATTCATTTGTCGGCTTTTGTAACAGGCATGGGAGCACGTAGTTTTCTATGTCAATACTTTTATCAAATTAAATTTGTTTGTCCGGGTAATATTGAGTTTACTGCAACTTTTAAGGCCCTCGATGTCCCAGCAGGCGCAACCGTTCAGCCAACAACCGGCTCAAGAACATCAGTCCATTCCAAAAGTCCCCGTTCGCGCCGAAACTCCGTAGACAGAGGACTATAGAGTACATTAGAACATAGTACAAGTCTATCTGCAAAGACATGATATTCTGCTTGGATATAAGTCTTAATATTTTGTTTTCGATTTGCCCTGATTCATAAGTAACTTGGCTAGTTAGCAATTATCTTGGAAGTAGTTATTTGTAATCAGATGTCATTAGATATTAAATAATAGCCATTAACTTCAACCTAGAACCATTCTTGACGCTCTTCAATCTGAGTTGTACATCACAGCCAATCTAAACTGAATACCCCCAAGACAATTATTAAAAGCCCTCCACATAAAAGTATCCAAAATCAAAACATGCGTCATAGAACCAAAATACCATCGCACAATTCATTATTTGATCAGTGGTATTAGCTAGGAAAGACACCATTGCGCCACTCGTATTATTCCATTAGTGCTTGTGATGTATCGAAAGAGCTAGAAAACTGTGTCTTCAGTTTTTAGTTCTTGCCAGGGGTGCGGGTCGCGCTGGGAATGCTCAGACCAAGCTCATCAATGTCAAGCTTGCGCGAGTAGAAGAGCAAGAGCGAGTTGAGCACAGGCAGAGCCATGATATCCAAGATACCGTAGAAAATACCCTCTGAAGTGGGGGAGATGACGTTTCCACCCTCAGACAGACCCCAAGAAATCGGGTAGAGGGAGTAGATAATTCCGACGCCCATGAGGATATAAGAGTAGATCTTGCTGAGCTTTGGAGTGACGGTCGCGGCGTTGAGGGTCTTGATCGAGCGCAGGCCAACCCAGCCAAGGTTGAGGAAGAGCAAGACCCAGGCAAAGGCACCCATGGTGAAGTAGCCAAACTTGTACGAAGACTCAACCAAAGAGGCGATAAGACCGCAAACGACGTAAACTTCGGTCAAGGTAGCCAGGTAGAGAGCGGTGACCCAGTTAAGTCCGGAAAAGAACGAAAGGTTGAGCACAAGAAGTGGAGCAGAGAGGAACCAGCCAATGTATCTGAGTGTATACATGTTAGTCACTGCTTTGTTCTGTTATAGTTGATCTGACATAGAGGCTTACCTGGCATAGAACACTTGACGAACTCCACCGCCCTGGTAATGGTTGTATCGGGTCTGAACACCGGTCCATCCGAGGTTTGAGGCCAGAGAGAAGTAGGTGATGGCAGCAAATATCGCAGCAACAATCGAGGTGTAATGGAAGAAGCGCTCACGACGAGGTACCTTGAAGGAAGTACCTGCGTAGCAAATGGCAGTCACCGACATGATTGAGAACACGGTCCAATACCAGTCTGAGCCGTGGGCCACCAGCGAGATGGTAGTGCCACTGCTGGGGTTGACGTTAAGAACGTCGTTTCGTGCAAAGAGCGGAGTAGCAGGCATTGCTATTAAGTAATAGATTGAAATAGTCTGACGAGAGAGTAAAGGCTGAAGACGACTCTCGAAGACTGTTGAGAAGGAAGATCTTGATGATTGATGCTGATGATTTGGAGGGAGGAAAGAGGGCGATTAAATACACCGCTGTCGAGGGTCGACGCCATCTGGTCAGCATAAAATGATATCAGCATGCAGATAGTCTATTAGTCGATGTACCAGACGAGCCGGCGAGTCCGGATCGCCTCCTCTGGTGAAGATAGTTCTACGATCAACAGCACCACGAACGATAGAGCGATGGGGCAACTATGACGTCATAAAAATGAACAGTTTGGGTTAGGGAATTAAGCGAAGGTAGCAGCCGGACGCACGTCGAAACTCTCGCGGGATGCTAGAACGATCTCTCATGCCGCGGTTCCGAAACACTCGAAATCAACAAAGAGATTTTTCTTTGTATCTCATGATTATATATCTGAAAACAAAAATAGGTTACAATCACGACAATGAAATGTCTTGAATTATCCTGAAGCAGTCACAAAAAGAGAGCCAGACCAGGTTTGCTGCTCCTTCTAACACGATTTCATCTTGCTGCACTTCTGTACCTCTTCAGCCTCGCCTGCATGCTTACTCGCGGGCCCCTGGGCTGAACACTTAGACTTCCCGGTTGGGTTAGTTGTTGATGCGTAAAGACGAGCCTGGTCCCAATCAATATCTAGAACTAATAACTAGCCATTATCTGGCTTTACAGCGTCATCGTCGCGTACCGACGTCATGTTACTCCTACAGATCATTCAGTTCCATTTGCTCGCTTTGGCTCAGGCTGAAATCTCATAGCAAATACTGAAAAGCCATGAACCGCTTTTGTTTTGTTTTCTTTCTTTTTGTTTCTGCTTTTTCTTTTTCTATCAACATAAACAATTAAAAGCGCTCATTAATTACAAAACAACGTGCTGTGCCCGGAACCTTTCGGCAGATCACCTCGAGATGATAGACTTCGTCGGCTACGACTAAACAGCGGATATCTCGGATAAGACTCGCTATCCCCGGTTTAGGTTGTTTACACAAGTTTAACTATCATCAACCAACTCGGAAATGATATGGATTCTTATGCAAACCTAGCCAGAGAAGGAAGGCGAGAAGGCAACGAAAACATCGATGAGGCCCGGAGGCCAGTTGAGTTTGATTGGATTTATGTGTTACTTAATTACCTCATTCCACATGTTTAATGATGATGACAAACAACACGTTTAAGTCCTACGTCCAACGAAAATGATTATCTGGCTACTGTTTTCTCTTACGAAAGCTACAGAGCTACGAGAATGCACAGTGTTTAAAATTGAAATGAATCATATTAAACTGACTAAAGTATCTAGTAAGACACTTTATATCATATCAAAGACTCCAGAAAGAGTTGTAAAATAAAGAAAAGCAAAAGAACTCCACCCAAAACACCGAGACACCAATAATACTTAGTTCGTAGACATCATAATAATAAAAATTGCCATGATCTGGATTCACCCAGAAGACTCGAAATAGTAGCCATCTGCTGGAACTAGAATCAGGTAATTACGTGAGTCTAGGCAGTGTTCTTCTCAGGTGAGGCGTGGGTGGCAGATGGAATACCGATTCCAAGCTCATCGATATCGAGCTTGCGCGAGTAGAAGAGCAAGATCGAGTTAAGAACGGGCAGAGCCATGATATCCAAGACACCGTAGAAGACACCCTCAGAAGTGGGAGAGATGACGTTACCTCCCTCGGACAGACCCCAAGCAATCGGATAGAGAGAGTAGATGAGACCAACTCCCGCGACGATGGACCTGAAGATCGAAGCTAGCTTAGGCTCGACGGTTGCCGCATTCAAGGTCTTGATAGAACGCATTCCAACAAAGAAGATGTTCACAAAGAGCAAGATCCATGCGCAGGCACCCATGGTGAAGTAGCCAAACTTGTAAGAGCTTGGGACCAAGGACGCAATGAGACCGCAGACAACGTAGACCTCAGTCAACGCTGCCATAAATAAAGCAGTGACCCAGTTAAGTCCACTGAAAAATGCAATGTTCATAACCAAGAGAGGAGCAGCCAAGAACCAGCCAATGTATCTATAAAAGAAGATCAGTCAGTACCGTCTCATTAAAAGTTTTGACGCTAGAAGCAGTAGTGGAACTTACCTAGCATAAAAGACCTGTCTGATGCCACCTGCCTGGTAGTGAGAGAACTCGGTCTCAACACCAGTCCATCCAAGATTGGAAGCAAGAGAGAAGTAGGTGACGGAAGCAAAGATCGCAGCAGCGATAGAAGTGTAATGGAAGAAGCGTTCGCGACGAGGAACCTTGAACGAAGTAGCCGCATAGCAGATCGCAGTCACCACCATGATCGAGAATGCAGTCCAATACCAATCCGAGCCATGGCTAACCAAGGAGATGTTGGTACCAGTGCTGGGGTTGACGTCAAGGACATCGTTGCGAGATAGCAGACGAGTAGCAGCCATTGTTGACGTTAAGAACGCGGGAAGTGTGTTGATAATTGTTATGAGCGCAGTTGAGAGCTGATTTGATTTGAATCTGATGATGATGAACAAGTCTGACGGAGCAGGACTACTCTTGGTCCTTAAATAATTGTAGAATCTCGTCGGGGGATCCCTCCCTCATGCATGAATGCCGACAATCCGACAACAGTTTGTGGTGAAGAAAAATCTATGAAAGCGCTGTGACGTCACAGGAGTAGTCGGACCACGATGAAGTTGCCACGACGTGGGGTTAGGGCACTAAGCGAGATGCTCCCGGCTCTTAGCGCAGGTTGCTAGAACACTCTGTTCGTAGCCGCAACTCTCCCGACGCTTCCGATCGCGCGAACAGATTATCATGTGACACCTACTGGTCGGAATCTCTATAGCTTGTTTTACTCTTCTAATCGTGAGATGGGCCCATCTGACGTCATATCATGTTCATTCTCTTCTCAATAGCACTCCACCTCAATACTTGGAAGAATCAGTCGCATGATTGACTGCGCTTGTTCTCTCGTAGACCCTGCAACCCCCCGAAGCTGTAGTACCGTAAGATCAGGCGCCGATGAAAATATAGCAGCTGCCGCGGCTGGGAAGCGGAGACCGGGGCATGAAGACAGGTCGAGAGTGCACAAAGGCGTCCGCTTTGCCCCATATGTGCCTAAAATCCCCGTAAGCAGTTCATGCATCTGACGCGCTGAATCCGCTGATAACGCACAGTAGATGTTACGCTGAGGATCCAAAGTCCCCTGTAAACTCAGAGTCTCTACTGCTGCATCTGCATGAAACTGGTCGTTGACGGCGAGCTGTGCGGTGGTCGGCAGCGGAAGTCGCGGATCTCCGATAGTGCAAAAATCCAGTGCCAGGCGCTTCGTACTCGCCGGAAACGCCGGTAAGTGCTCAAACCTGCCCCATCGTATGCTGACTTCCTCGAGCACACTGCAGCAGCGAAAATCTAGCGGATAGTGACCCACACGCCCATCACTCTCAATCACAATATTTGTCATCGCAAACCACCTTAATCCGGTAGCCATAGCTATCAGTCGCATCATCCCGAGCTGCCCAATCACAATCGATCCTCTTGGAAACTTCACCGCGGCACCATCATCGTCCATCTCTCTCCATCTATATCCACTAATCTCCAGTCGTCGTAGGTTATTAAGCGCATTCTCGCGGAAGGGATTGCGGCATGTCAATAGCTCTATTTTCTTCTCCGATGCTGTAGGCGTACACCTACTATACACTGCTCGCAATGTATGTAAATTGGTGACCGGAGCACCCGCATCAATGATATCGAGTAGTTCCGATAGATTGGTAATCTCAATTGTCAGCTTTTCCAACCGTGCAAGAAAGTCTACCATGTCGTCAAAATACGAGATGGTTGATGAAAACAGCTCAGTATAACTTTCGATGTGAAGCTCTTTCAGATTGGTTAGCAGACGAACTCTTTCCAGATCGTCGGTAGTCAACCTGAACATATCGCGAAGCAGCCGGCTGTTCCGCGTGACCACGACACTGCACTGATAATCTCGCTCTGCCGGATTCGGCAAACATATAACGCGCACTCGTCCTCTTGCACGACGTACGCATTCTTGCAACGCATCATCCGCCACGGAGGGTCCTCTGCAAGTCCTAAAATCAAGAACTTCCCAGAGTTGAGGCGCTCTGTTGAGCACGAAATTGCGCCAAGCTCGACTGACCAATTGGAGGTTCGCAACTTCAGCTGTCGTTAAGTAATTGAATATCTGCGATGTGATCTCAACAGGAAAGATACTGAGAAAGTCACGGCGTCGACATTTGATCTGCTCCGCCAGATTGCCTGCCAAAATCAGCGCCTGTTATTAGAGTCATTAGCAAGTAATACAAATCCCAAACTCAAAAAGGAGTAACAAACATCCAAGTTCCCAGGATCTTCAAAAGCAAGTTGGAGGGCCTCGGCAAGCGCTTGATGATGCCTGCCGTCAATGAAGCTCTCTTGAATTTCACATAGACGGCGCGACTCGAATAACTGATATTTCCAGAAGATTAGCACCCAATAATCCAAATAGTGTACCACGGCCTTCCCTCCTGTTTTAAGGCATACTCACCATCAAGAACTGATATTTTTAGAGCAGTGTATGTCTCTGTTCATCGAAATATGAACGTTCGTATCTCTTTGTTTCGATGATCCTTTTCCGATATGTAAACTGCAAAGCAGCCAAGTCCCAACCAGGTCAAAACCTTATCCACCGCTCTTATCTGCGACCGATACACATACCATCATACGGTCTCTGTAATTGCAAATCGCAATTAGTTTACTATGTGATTGCAACAATTCTTACTATACACAGCTGTTGGCCTATATGTGCTGCAAGCGACCATTAATGGGCTTTATTGAAGCAATATCAATCTGCGGCCGATACACAATAGTTACCTTGGTTAACAAATCTATAGAAGTTATGTAATCGCAATTATGTAATCACAATCATCGGATTTTGGCCGATATCGGCTGCACGCGACCGATAATGAGCTTTGTTGAAGCTGGGAATTCAATTCCGCGTTCACTGTCTCTCTATTTCCATTGTACGATAAAAGACAGCAGCTTATCAGCCTCGCGTCCCCAGAAGGCTCTAGCAGACCCTCAAGTTGCAGGGCCGATAACTTCAGAATACCTCAAGAGTCTAAAATTTTAGTTCCGAGACTTTGTTTAGACGTTTGACGTTTAGTCTAGACCCGAGGCAGCACTCCTACTTCAGGCCTTTGTTTTATATATTCCCTGAATTTATTATATGTACAATACGTGACAATGCAGTCCTATCTTCAGATGCGCCGTATCCGGCAAAGCGTCACAGAAATCTGCTCTGACAGTGAAAAGAATATCGCGTCACAACTACCTTCTCAGCATGCCTCCTCGAACAGCTCGACCAGCAGCTCCCCTCCTCCTCTAGAAACAGGTGCTGGAATCCTCAGTTGTGCAAGCCGTTTGGAAAAGGAGTCGGCAGATGATAGTGCGGATGATGTCTTTATCGTGGGTTGGGATGGTCCAGATGACCCATCCAACCCCAGAAATTTTTCCCTGACTATAAAGTTGGGCACGACTCTTATAGTGGCCATGATTGCCTTCGTTGTCGGTGCTGCTTCTGCAACTGATTCTGCAGTGTTGAAGCAAAGTTCAGAAGAGTTTCATGTTAGTGAGGTTGTTGGCAGTCTGTCAACAGGTAATATTCAGCTTTTTCTTTTTACATCTCGATATAATATCGCTGACTGGTGCTGTAGGTGCATATTTAATCGGCTATGCTTTTGGAGCCGTCTTAGCAGCGCCGTTTTCGGAAACTCTTGGACGGAATCTCATTTACGGCTCTACTATGTTTCTTTTTATGTGCTTCATAATGGGTTCTGCTCTTGCTCCCAATATTGGGGGTCAGATTGTGTTGCGCTTCTTTTCAGGCTTTTTTGGCTCCACGCCTTTGGTATGTGCTGGTGGTTCCATCGCGGACCTTTGGGACCAAATGGACAAAACATATGCCTTTCCCTTGTATGGAGTCACAGGCTTCGGTGGACCTGTGATGGGTCCGGTCATTGTCAGTTACATTGGCCCAGAGCTTAATACATGGCGATGGGCAGAATGGATGAATCTATTCATGGCAACTCTTGCGCTAATAATTATCCTTGCCTTCATGCCTGAGACCTTCGGCCCATTGATTCTCAAATGGAAGGCAAAAGATATTCGCAAAGTTACTGGTGACTCGCGGTACAAAGCCGAATTGGAGGTGACGCACAAAAAGTTCAGTACACGGATGAAAGTGGCTTTGACCCGTCCATTTGTGATGGCAACCGAGCCCATTATCATCTTGATGGCGCTGTATATGACTGTCATCTATATTATCCTTTTTACGTTCCTGGATGGCTTCACATATATTTTTGACAATGTATACCATATTGGTCAAGGACTCACAAACGTGTGTTTTCTTGGTCTTTTCATAGGCATGCTTCTGCCTTCTATCCTGATTTATCCGGTATACAAGATTACTGCAAAAGATTTGGTGAAAGTCCAAGCAGAGGGGCGACGTGATTTAGATCCTGAGGTTCGCCTGTGGTTCGGAATGATGGGTGGATCTGTCTCGATTCCAGTTGCATTACTTTGGATGGGATGGACGGACTATGTTAGTTGTCATACCTTTTCTCTCCCGTTTAATCGATTCATTTGCTGACTACTTTTATTTATGCTCATAGGCCAGTATTAGCATTTGGTCTCCGCTCATCGCCTCAGCACTTTTTGGATATGGAGTTTTGTGCATTTTCATCACTGTGTATATGTACGTAATTGATTCATATGAGATCTACGCTGCGTCTGCTCTTACATTGGTTACATTCATGCGATATTGTGTGGCTGGTGGAATGACTGTTGCTGGAATCCCCTTCTACAAGAATATGGGCCCTCATTGGACATTAACCATCCTGGCATGTATCAGTTCCCTTCTGGTTCCTCTACCGTATGTCTTTTATTTCTGGGGGAAAAAAATACGTGCTTTTAGCAAGCATGCTGCTGTCAAAGTTTGAACGGTATGGAGTTCGCTAATCGCATGAGAGATGTTGTTTTTGGCTTTGTTTGTGCAATATGTTTGCTTCCTGCTGCAAACGGTTAGATTTACTGTATATGATAATAATGTTTAATAAAGCGATTGATTTAAGAGCAGAACTGTCGGACTGTATTTCAGAATGAGCTTGTAAGTTGGTAGACTGGATTCACTACCAGTTGGGTGCATCTCGAACCCGTTTATTATTATAGAGCGGGAATGCGAATAGAGCAGCTGTATGTCTAAGTCCATAGTCTTTGTACTTCTTTTATTGTTCGTGGGCGTGGAACCCAATGCCCTTTCTGTACCCTGGGTTTCTTTTAAGGAAAAGAGACTCCCTCGTTTATCTAATTTTTTAGGATATAATCGACAAACTACACAAACTTTGGATCTCTGGGGCATTATATCTTAAATTGACGATATGAGTACTATGAATTCTGGTGACTAGAAGTATCTGGATGCAGTTAAGCAAGCTATGAGAATCTTCTGTCAGTTATATGGCTTTGTATAATGGTGTTGCGGTCGTCGTGACGCTTACTTTCAACGAGGCCAAGCCCCTCTCTGGTAACATTGGGGAGACCATTTTTTTCTTTTCATTTCCGCCTTACGCTCGTCTGGAGCAGATCTTCCATGTTCTTATTAAGGATCTGGCAAGGAGGGCTGCCTTGATTGTGCATTGCTCGACAGCCTTTGAGGTTTGAGATTTTTTGGATCTTATCAAGCTCGCCAACATTATCAATGCACCCTCAAGTTTAATGGAACGTCAAGATGTTTTGAGTCTCCACCCTCTCCTGTCAATAGATCGTTAAAGGTAATGGTCTGATTGACATTGCGCCTTCCGTTTCATAATTTGACGCGTCCGATCTGTACCGATTGTTATATGCGGTATGGAGCCTTCCGGACCTCATGTACTTGCACCAGGCCCACCATGTGTTACTTCACTGTCCTGAATATGTTTCTGTTTCTGGATGATTGCCTGTTTCACTAGTTGGTTGGCTGTCAGCTTTCTACGATTTTCCCACTTTCATTGTCACGGCTCCTCTATTTGTTGGCCAGGTTCGGGTCCAATTATGGCCCGAAGCCGTCGATTTCGCCGCTTTTATCATTAATCGTCTCTTCCTGTTCAGTTTCGTTGCGTCTACTTATAAATTTTGGCACGGATGCTCTCCAGACCGTCCTTTCCGCACACGTTTAAAAGTACTGCTCATCCTGCTGTTCCGTCTTCTGTTCATGATAGAAAGTCTGTTCCATCAATGCCCAACGATAATGCAATTTCTCATTGTCATCATCATCAATCAATCAGCGCCGCCTGCAATTTTTATGCATTTTCACAGAGCTCGAGCTCAGTCAAAAAGCTTCTTTCCTCTATTCGCGTGCCAACTGGATCGTACTTTCCAACATAATTCATTCCTTCACATCAGCTTTTTCCTTCCTTGTCACAACACCTGATTGACGCTTTTCACTTCCAGTATCCCTGGCGCTCCCAATCATCAATGCAATTCCTGTCGCTGTCGGCTTGGACCCTGCTTATTTGGCCCTCTTATTCCCTCATTTTCATGGACACTGTTTTTGTCGTCACCACCACATCCTAAATCCTCGTTTTTTCTCTGGTATTTTGATACTCCTGAACTGCCCTTTTCTGGAAGGTTTTCATTCTTTGCTGCCTTTCTGGTCTGAGACGGATAGATAGTCTGGATTGTCTATATAATCCTTGCAGGTCTGTTTACGAACACGCCATACTGATTACGAGGAGATGGCGATGAAAGTGAGTCAATCGTTTTTGAGGATATTGTACTATCTCCGTCCAGTTGAAACGTTGAGCCGGCGCGTATCGTGCGCTTGCTAGGCATCTACTTCGACGCCAAGCTCAAATTCCAGCATCACGTTCAACAGATGCTGGGGCAGGCATTGCGCTCGCTCATGTCTTTTCGCCGGTTTGCCAGATCAACAGGCGGTCTCCCGCACTCATTCTTTCGACAGCTCTATATTTCCTGCATCACTTCTCTTGCTGACTACGGCACAGAGCTTTAATGGACCTGTCAGAAAGCTGGGATCAATGAGAAGATTACAGGGCTGCATAACAAGGGGTTCAGGAACGATTTTGGGCGCGTTCAGGTCCTCGCCAATTGCAGCGCTTGAATGTGAAGCAGCGGTCTCTCCAGCGGCCATCAGACTCCAACGACGAATGCGAAAATATGCTCTTCGACTGGTGACACTCCCAAGCACTCATCCTCTGGTTCCAAGATGCGACGCTCTTCCCAACCACCCGGAGGAGTTTCGCACGTCTCTTGTCGCTCCCTTTGGGAGATGGGACCAGGCTGGAGAAAATGAACGCCTCCAGAGTTGATTAGACTACTTGTTATGGACTGATCAGCTTTTCCTTCAATGCCAAACGACGGCTGAGACGTTCAAAGTTAGAGAATATCCACCCTGGCGCGTTCCGGACATCTCCAGCAAGCTTGAGACACTACCGGAAAAGGAGATTTTGAAAATCATTGGCAAGGGCGGGGACATCTACACTCGTTCATTTTACAACACTGAGAACAAGGGTGTTGGCTGAGCATTCACTATCGAATATGAAGGACGTCTCGTGAATTGAAGAGCACGGCTCTTGGATCTTCCATTCGGCTCTGTATTTTGCGGCGATAACCGCCTTAGCGAAGGCCACAACTTGGGCATCAAAACGAAGGCTTTCAAACAAATCTATCTGCTTCTTCACGGATGCCCTTGCTGTCTTAAAACGCCTGGAGAAGCCCCGGTGCACCTCAAATCAAAGTCTAGCTATCGTTATCTATCAAGCCATCAATCAACTGTCTGAAACCAACGCCGAAGTCTCTATTTATTGGCTTCGCTCTGCTGCCAAAGTTGAGGGCAGCATTCGCGCCCTGGCTTCAGCAACTCAAGCAGCTTCGTCGCCAGACCGCGTCACTTATGACTGCTCCTTCCGCTTTCTTTATAAGCTCGTCAATGACCTCGCTCTTGAGGAATGGAATGACAAGCTTCAGGCCAAGCCTCCATCAGAATACTATAAATATGAAGGCAAGCCTCGACTATCTATCGACAAACCCCTTGTGAATATCCCTCGCAGCATTGCCAGCTGTATTGTGAGCTTCCGGACCGGACATGGCTTCTTCAACAGCTACTTTGCAAGACATGGCAGGGAGCCTCGTCCCTCTCCAGACTGTTGGTGTGGAGTTCCACTGCAGTCAATTGAGCATGTGCTTCTTTCTAGTCCCAAGCACAGCAGTGAACGAACTAGTGCTTTTGAAAGAATTGATATCGCTGAACGCACGCTCGACCGCATTCTATGGACAGACAAAGGTCTTTCTGCACTTGTCAAATATCTGCAGAAGACCCATGTCGGCACTGGCCACTGGTATCATCAGCAAAAGTCTCTCACTCAGAGCCAGAGGGATGAGTTATGGATTAAATTTTATGGTGGGTTTGAGAGCGGGCATCGCCAATATTGAGGAGGAGGAGTAGCTGTGAGGCCTCCTAGGGACGTTGATAGCTTGGAAAATTATTATTGAGTTGTTTTGGATTTTTATTTATTATTTGGAATATGTTATAGTTAATTCTGCGAAAGTTTTTTGTTTTGTTTTTGACTTGGAGATTTATTTGTTATTGTGACACGATCTTAGGATCTATTTTGTTTTATTATATAGTGGTGAAGGGGGTGTTAGTCTGTCATAACCTGGTTGTTGCAACGGACTTAAAACGGAGATTTATCATCATCATCAATAGATTTGATTTGTTGCTTCTGTAAATGCCATAGTCATCGCTTGACTGAGAGAAACCGAGCTGTAGCAAGTAATCATGCAGCAGCTCATTCCAGCATCGTGGTGCCTGCTTTAGACCATAAAGACTCCGCTGTAAAACCCATACTTTTTGCTGTTCTGAAAATATCGCGGAGGAGGCTGCAAATAAATTTCCTCTTCCAATTTTCCATAGAGAAAAGCAGTCTTTATGTCCATCTGATGAATATGGTAGTCATTGATAGCAGCATGAGCCAAAAGGATCCTGATTGATTCAAATCTGACCACTGGTGCAAAGGTCTCATCAAAATCAATTCCATATTCTTGAGTGAATCCTCTGGCGACAATCCGAGCCTTGTATTTTGTGAGCTGGCCATCCTTGCCATATTTCTTCTTGAAAACCCATTTGGAAGTAATTGCTTTTCTCCCACTAGGTAGCTCACTCCATCTCCACACTTGATTTTCTTGTAGAGAATTCAGCTTGTCCTCGCAAGCCTTGCTCCAGTGTAACCATTCTGGACTTGCCTTTGCCTGCTGAATTGTCACCGGCTCTGCCGTATCTTTACAATCGTCTTCCTCCGTCACGCTCTGCCATCTCTCCCTTCGAGCTTTGGACTGGCGAGATCCCCGCTCTTGATCACCTGTTGCAAATTGTCTTTGCCAGTGGAAGTTCCAGACATATTGAGGTTGTCAGAGTTATCCATTGATGATGATCTTCCTTAAGTGTGCTTTGATATGTAATATGATATGTTGTTCATTGAATGATATGTACAAAACAAGGGAGGGAGCTGGTCAATATATAGACAAAACAAGTTCATACAAAGTTTATACAAAGTTCTTCAAGTATCATCTGATCAGTCATCTGACCAGTCATCTGATCAGTCATCTGATGTTTCCAGATCATTCCAGCTCCTTCCAGATCCTTCCAGCTCTTTCTAGCTGCTTCCAGTTCCTTCTAGTTCCTTCCGGTAGATTCCAGTTGCTTCCGGTCCCTTCTAGCTGTTTCCAGTTGCTTCTGGTTCCACCCAGTAATTTCCTTAGGGTTTCAGTTCCCTCCAGGGAAACCCTTGATCCTGCTGCATAATGGAACACTATTTTCAACATCACCTTCACGTCTTTGGCTGCGCTGCCTATCCTCTCGTGGACTCCAGTGTTCGTGATGGCAAACTTGCACCGGTTAGTGCTTCTTGTGTTCATGTAGGCTACTCCGGGGACCGCAAGGCCTACCGTCTTTACGATCCGCGTCTTAACAAGGTTGTCGAATCGAATCAGGTCACCTTCCT